CGGTAAGTTGCTTCTAGCTTTCTTCAAATCTATCGGATTCATATGATCTATAGCTTAAAAAATAGAGAATCTCAAGAGCTTTCAAATGAACTAAAGCACACAAAAAATAACAGCTCTAAAGAAAGTTACAGTGATTTGTAGCTTCGACTACGGTCCGTTAGGCTACAAATCACTCTAACTTTCTTTAGAATTCCTCTTTTAGAGTCTGCTTTAGTTCATTTGAAAGCTCTTGAGATTCTCTATTTTTTAAGCAATAGATCATATGAATCCGATAGATTTGAAGAAAGTTAGAAGCGTTTGTAGTGTGATAGTTCATTATTTTTTGTCTTTTTTCGACTTTTTTTTGTAGTTTATAGTGCCAAAAGTTTCTAGTGTCCATCTAAAGTTCTCTATTTCATGCTACAAGTAAAACTGTAAGCATCTCTTGCGTATTGCATTACCAACTTTGGCCAACTTTCAATAAACAACGAAAAATTGATGACGATTTCTTACAGAATCTGAAAAAAGCATCACAGATCTCGAATTTCTCAATTGGTGGCCAAAATCATTACACAAGTGCGATGTCGGATCAGGTTTCTTTTGTTAAAAGTTTTAGAAATCGATTCGATCTTTCAGATGGATTATTTAACACCAGGCGTACGAAGAAGAGCCAGCTCAAACGAAGGAACATCTTTCTCATTACCTAGGTAAGAAAGACTCAAAGTAGAGTAATAAAGAAGACTTATAAAGACTTAGAAAGACTTATAAAGACTTAGAAAGACTTATAAAGACTTAGAAAGACTTATAAAGACTTAGAAAGACTTATAAAGACTTATAGAGACTTATAAAGTCGACTTTAAATCCTTATAAAGTAGATATTTGACTAGATCTTTAACTAGATATTGAACTAGATATTGAACTAGATATTTGAATGGATTATGTTCTTGATTGAGCTTAATGATCAATATTTCAGACAACGTGAGGTAAGCCCAGTGCGGAGTGCGGTCGAGAGTGTCGCCTATATCGCTGACTCATTGAAAAACGATCAAGATGATAAACAGGTGAGAGAAATTTGAAAATTTAAAGCTAACAGCTTAATGACAGCTAACAGCTCAATGACGGCTATAGCTCAATGACAGCTATAGCTCAATGACAGCTAAAGCTCAATGATAGCTAACAGCTCAATGACGGCTATAGCTCAATGACAGCGCTCAATGACAGCTAACAGCTCAATGACAGCGCTCAATGACAGCTAACAGCTCAATGCCAGCTATAGCTCAATGATAGCTAACAGTTCAATGACGGCTATAGCTCAATGAAAAGCTTCTAATGATCAAAAGAAACAGATTCGATAAGAAACAGACAAGATTCAAACCCAAATTCAGGTGATCGAAGATTGGAAATACGTTTCCGTTGTGCTGGATCGTGTCTTTCTCATTCTATTTGCTTTGGCCTGTACAATTGGAACCTATTTGATCATCTTCCGACGAGCCGCCGATTTAGGGAACAAGAGGATATAGGTGAGTCAAATTCAACCCCTATTTACCACACAAAACTAAGCAACTAAGCATTTTGCGTCTCTAGATTTGCACAACTCTTGCAGAGACATTTGTACAAGCTTTTCTAAAGCTAAAGCTCTAAATACTTTATAGAAATATGACTGGAAATGAAGCTAACATCAAGCTAACATCAAGCTAATCAAGCTAATCAAGCCAATCAAGCTAATCAAGCTAATCAAGCTAATCAAGCTAACATCAAGCTAACATCAAGCTAATCAAGCTAATCAAGCCAATCAAGCTAATCAAGCCAATAAAGCTAATCAAGCTAATCAAGCTAACATCAAGCTAACATCAAGCTAACATCAAGCTAATCAAGCTAATCAAGCTAATCAAGCCAATCAAGCTAATCAAGCTAATCAAGCTAACATCAAGCTAACATCAAGCTAACATCAAGCTAGCATCAAGCTAATCAAGCTAACATCAAGCTAATCAAGCTAATATGAATATAACCTCTTTCAGTATTAAAGCTTCATGAACAGACGATCTTTTCAGGTTCTCGATTTTCTCATTCACTCATTCACCCCACTCAATTCCCCCTCTCAACTTTGTGTGACGAGAGAAAGGACAGGGACCGATAGTGTGCTTATTTCTGAAGCGGGATTCCCCTAAAAACGGGTTTTTACTTTATTCTAAGTCTTCTACCGTATAGGCTTTGTATTTCTATTGAAAGTGTTTTCTAAAATGTGACCTTGTTACCGTAGTTCTGCAATCTAGAGGTTTTTTGGGAAAAACAGATCGAATTGGAACGGATCGAGCTAGTATCAGTTGGATCTATCGAATCGGATCAGATCGGAGCGACCTAGCCCGATCGGTCGAGTCCATCGAACTGGAACGGATCAGGCTAGCCTGATCGGTCAGATCAATCGGATCGGATCAATCGGGCTAGCTCGATCAATCGGACTGATCGGGCCGGGCTAGTCTGATCGGTCGGACGGATCGGATCGGGCTAGCCTGATCGGTCAGATCAATCGGATCGGATCGAATCGAGCTAGCCCGATCAATCGGACGGATCGGGTCGGGCTAGCCTGATCGGTTGAACAGATCAGATCGAGTCGGGCTAGGCCGATCTGTCCGACGGATCAGATCGGATCGGGCTAGCCTGATCGATCAGACCTATTGGCTCGGATCAGAGGGGATCGAGCTAGCCCGATCGGTCGTACCTATCGAATCGGGCTAGCCCGATCGGTCCTGATCCTATCCGCTCCGATAAAACCCGAACCGATCTGATCTGAAAACCATGTCTACTGCAACCTTTTATAAAGTTTCCTTCTCTTTCTTCCTTCTCTTTCTTCCTTCTCTTCCTTCTCTTTCTTCCTTCTCTTCCTTCCTTCTCTTTCTTCCTCTTCTCCTTTTTCTTCTCCGGCAAGCAGAAAACCAGATAGCTCAGTGGTTAGAGCCTTTGTCTAGAAAGCAAAAAGGCAAGCATAAAGATCGAAGGTTCAATCGCGTCTCCGAAATCTTTCTTTACCATTCCTTCTTTTAGTTTATCGTAATCCGTGATCAGTACTGATCTTGATCTTACTGATCTTTATCTTGTTGATCTTTAAAATTGCTTGATTGATTGCTTTAAAATGTTTAACTTTAGAGCTTTAAACCTAAGCCTTAAAGCTCTTTTCTTTTAAACTAATAATATGGTTAAAGTAGGTTTGCAAGTAGGTTTTTCTTTCTTCTCTTTCTCCCTTCTCTTTCTTCCTTCTTCCTTCTCTTTATACAATACAACCAGACTACAAAGGAAACATTTTAGAAAATGCCCAACGTCTAATAAACGTCTTTTTGTCTTTTTTCGTCATTTCTTTACATCCTCATTTCTAAATTGTGATTTTCTAATTGATTTTAAATTTTATTTATGCTCATATTAAGCTCTAATTCTTGCCCACTTCTGGGGGTGGGACAAATGCGACCTTTTTTTGCGCATCTGGACATTTGCGCACCTTTTTTTGCTGGAAAAGGCCTTAGGAAAGGTCGTAGAGCATCAAAAATGTTTTCACAGAAGGGAATCGTATGCGTAGATTCCGAATTTCGACAAATCACCCTCGCTGACATCAAATTTGGGCTAAAAGGAAAAACTACGCAACTTAACGCTTTTCCGCAGTTTTTGTCTTTCTTTTCAATAGAAATCGTTGGATTTTTGGTCTAAGAAAGCGGAAAAGCGTTAAGTTGCGTAGTTTTTGCCTTTTAGCCCAAATTTGACGTGTCAGCGAGGTGTGATTTGTCGAAATTCGGAATCTACGCATACGATTCCCTTCCGTGAAAACATTTTTGAAGCTCTACGACCTTTCCTAAGGCCTTTTCCAGCAAAAAAAAGGTGCGCAAATGTCCAGATGCGCAAAAAAAGCTCGCATTTGTCCCACTCCCCTATTTCTTGCAAATTAAAAGAAAAAAAAACATTTTCCCATTTTCATATCCGAATTTCGTGATTTAGGCAAACAAATTCGGTTTTTTTGGACTTTTAAGAATGATTTTTTGGACATTAAGAATGATTTTTTGTTTCTAAATTCAGATTGATGAAGAAAATTGATTAAGATTGATTAAGATTTCGAAATTTAACGTGAAAATCGATTCTTGATTGATTTCTTTTCTTTTCTCTTCTTTTCTTTTCCGTTTTTTTACCCTCCAACCATACAAAGTGCTTTCGTTTTGAATGATTTTTTTTTAAAGGAAATAAATATAAATATTTTTTATGATGGAAAAAAACAAAAATCATTGATTTAGTAGTACTTTGGAGGCTTTTTTGATCTAAACGAAACCTTTCTGGAGCACTGAATTCTTTGCTTTTCTGGATAAAGAAAGTGAAAAGTGAAAAGAAAGTGAAGAAAGTGAAGAAAGTGAAGAAAGTGAAGAAAGTGAAGAAAGTGAAGAAAAAACGATTATATAACGAGAAAACTAGAAAACTAGAAAACTAGAGAGCTAGAGAGCTAGAGACCTAGAGAGCTAGATAACTAGAGAGCTAGAGAGCTAGATAACTAGATAACTAGATAGCTAGATAACTAGATAACTAGAAAACTAGATAGCTAGAGAGCTAGATAACTAGATAACTAGATATCTAGATAGCTAGAGAGCTAGATAAATAGATAACTAGATAGCTAGATAGCTAGAGACCTAGAGAGCTAGAGAGCTAGAGAGCTAGATAACTAGATAACTAGATAGCTAGAGAGCTAGAGACCTAGAGAGCTAGATAACTAGATAACTAGATAGCTAGATAACTAGATAACTAGATAGCTAGAGAGCTAGATAACTAGATAACTAAATAACTAGAAAACTAGAAAACTAGAATACTAGAAAGATAGAAAACCAGAAAACTAGAATCCAGTGCGCTGGAAGAGAAGCGTTTAAAGACTTTGAGCACAAAGTACACGAAGATTTACGTTTACCCGTGGAAATTGTTTAGCATAACAATCATTTAGCAAAAGATATAAAGCATAACAATCAAGCATCAGCATAACAATCAACAATCAATCATTATCCCAAAACATCGACATCTCGTCCAGCGACTCGTACTCCATAAACGAGATAGTAATAGGTGGCCATCATTATATCACTGACATAATGCGTCGTGATCAGATTTGTTGAGCAACAAGCTTTTCCCTGTAAAATTTGATCCTTTACTTTCACTAACAAGAGAAGTACCCCAGCTCGCCACCACCCACGCCCAAGGAGAATCGAACCCGAGCAAAAAAGACCATGATTGATTTGTATACAAGCACCTTATCCACTGGACCACCAACTCATTTTGACTTGGAGCGAAAAAAGCCTTTTAACCAAGTTCTCAAGTTCTCAACAGCGAGAAGTTTTCAACATCTCGCTTAAAAGACTTTTTTCGAGGGACGCCGGCGTGTGCTGGTGGCCTAGTGGATAAGGTGCTTGGATACAAAGCGAGCAATCTCTCTTCTGCTTGGGTTCGAGTCCTCGCCTCGCAAATCTGCCTCCTTTTTTGCAAAAAATGCGAAAAGTCTTTAAGCAAGATGTTGAAAACTTCTAAACCAAATATCTCGCAGTGTGGGCAGTTAATTTTGGGCATTTTGATGAGCTTATTCTATAACTTCTTGGGCGTCTGGTGGGCGGCGGTGGGAATCTGGGCTACTTCCCTTGTAAGCTGTGCTAAATTATCGGGATTTTCAATTGAAGGCTTGCTAAAAAAAGTTACACTACGCTACAATACGCCTTGAGACATAGCACTACAGACAGTTGTTACAGTACACTACAGTGCAACCGTAGCTGATGTGAGCATGGTTTCTAGATCGTTTATTAGACAAGGTTAAGCTAGGTTTTAAAAGTACTGTAGCGTACTGTAGTGTACTATGGCGTGCTATAGTGTGTTATAGCGTACTGTGGCGTACTATAGCATACTATAGTGTACTGTAGCGTACTATAGCGTACTATAGTGTACTGTAGCGTACTATAGCGTACTGTACCGTACTGTAGCGTAATATAGCGTACTATAGCGTACTATAGCATACTGTAGCCTACTGTAGCCTACTATAGCGTACCATAGCGTATTATAGAGTACTGTAGTGTGCTATAGCGTACTGTAGCGTACTATATTGTACTGTAGGGTACTGTGGCGTACTATAGCGTACTATGCTGTACTGTACTAATCTAGCAGTGAGTTGCAGCATGTTGTAGTGATTGGATGTGCACTGTTTTGTACTGTATTGGAATGATTGTGTGGTCTAATGCACTGAGCTGTAGCGGCTGTCTACTGTAGCGTACCGTAGCGTACTGTAGTGTAACTGAAGTAGCTGTTTACTGGTTTACTGTGCAGTTACGGGTCAAGCCTACCGATTTCGCGAATCAAAGAACCGACCGGCTGTAGCTTGGCCGCCACCGATTGCCGCGCCCATCCCCGATCCATTCCACTGATCCTGTTTGTTGGATGGATGATATCCATGACGTCGATTGGCAACATCCTTTAAATGTTCAAAGAAATGGGATTCACTTTCAAATCTGCTCTTTACTCTTTACGCGTTACTCTTTACGCAAAGAAAACTTACATATGAGCTCCCTGCCGGTCAACGGACGGGATCGCCGTAACGCCCGCACTCCGAAGACACCAACCGACCTGAAAAGTTTGAAAAGATTTCTTCCGATCTATTCGATAGTTTCTATTAGTACTTTTGACTACTTTCCACTTGCCAAAAGCCGTATTTTAAAGGCAGAAAAAGATTGAGCGATTGAGGCAGTTTTTCCGCTTTTTATTCGCAACTATGTTCAAATTTTTCGAAACAATTTTGCTTTATCCATTCTACCCTTAGCTTTTTTAAATGCAAATTTGCAAAATGCAAAATGCAAAATGCAAAATAAGCAAAGTACCCAATACTCTACCGATTTTCAACTTATTTTTGCTTACTTCCGTGTCCTCATGGAGATAGGAAGTGTTCCGACACTTCTCCCCATTCGATTCCTCGATCACTTCTACGAACCTGAAAATGAAAAAGAAATGAAAAATTAAGTAAATTTAATGATTTTAGTATAAGCACATGATTTTTGGGTGCTTTACGGTTAACGGGGGAGGAGGAGGAGCAGGAGGAGCAGGAGGAGCAGGAGGAGGAGCAGAAGGAGCAGGAGGAGCAGAAGGAGCAGGAGGAGGAGCAGGAGTAGGAGGAGCGGGAGGAGGAGCAGGAGTAGCAGGAGCGGGAGGAAGAGCAGGAGGAGCAGGAGGAGCAGGAGGAGGAGGGACATTGTTTCTTTTACAAATTCAACAAAATTCTCTATAACATCGTTTAATCATTTGCGTTTAAGCAAAATTTTGTTTAAAAGTATTCAACGTCGGAATTGGGCATTATGAATAGTTTTTAAGCAATAGATCGTGTCAATCCGAGATAGCTTTGATGTCGACAGAGAGTTTGAAGTGAACGATTGTAGTTTGTAGGCATTTCGGAGGCTTGTAGTTTGTAGGCTATTTCAGAGGCTTGTAGTTTGTAGTCCATTTCAGGCGCTTGTAGTTTGTAGCCTCGTTCGGAGGCTTTTAGTTTGTATTCTATTTCAGAGGCTTGTAGTTTGTAGGCATTTCAGAGGCTTGTAGTTTGTGTTCTATTTCAGAGGCTTGTAGTTTGTAGTCTATTCCGGGCGCTTGTAGTTTGTAGTCTATTTCGAACGCTTTTAGCTTGTATTCTATTTCAGAGGCTTGTAGTTTGTAGCCCGAATTTGTTCCGTTTTCGATGAACCGATGAAAACCGATAAAAAGTTCACCTTTTCAGTCCCTCTCTCGACAAAATATAACCCGATCCACCACTCGGATAGATGAAATCGCGTGGTCTCTTCTGCAAAATTTCGACATTTAACCTCAACTTTCAACAAACCGTCAACGAATGATCCATATATTTGAGCATTGTCGCCAAATAGAGTGGCTCATGCGGCGAACGACCCTTCAAATATTCTTTCAAATTCTCGATCACAACGAATGTGTCGTCGTCGGCTTTCAAAAACCAATCGTAGGATTTCTAAATTCGACGAGGATCAAATTTCGGACTTTTGCTCGCTTACTATTGCATTTTTTATACCTATTACATATATCTAAATGAGAACTAAATGAAAATATGAGGAAGTTTCTAAGAAGATATATGATAACGTCATTTTCGCATTCAAAGCGCCATTGGCACTCAAATATCTCGGCGTTGGGTTATTCAATTTAAATATTTTTGATATCATTGGATAGCCAAGTCTTTCTCTATCGATTGGTACAAAAACTATTTTAATTGGACAGCCCAACACCAAGAAATTTGAGCTCGAAGTTGAGCCAATGGCAATCTAACTTTGAGCTCAAATATCTTCGCTTTGAGTTGTTCAATTTAAATATTTTTAATATCATTGGATTCGCCAAGTCTTTCTCTATCGATTAGTATAAAAGCTGTTTTAATGAACAGCCCAAAGCCATAAAAGGCCCCAAAGCCAAGGTGGGACCCACGCGCCCCGCTTCTTTGTCATTGGCTCAACTTTGAGCTCAAATATCTTGGCTTTGGGTTGTTCAATTTAACGATTCTTAGTATCGTTAGATTCGTCAAGTCTTTCTCTCTCGATTGATATAAAAACTGTTTTAATTGAACAGCCCAAAGCCAAGATATTTGAGCTCGAAGTTAGAGTGCCAATGGCAAAGGGAGCGGAGCGACGGACCTTTCATACAAGCAATATATCTTGGCTTTGGGTTGTTCAGTTTACATACTTTTTATACCAATCGATAGAGAAAGACTTGGCCAATCTAATGATACCAAAAATGTTTAAACTGAGCAATCCAAAGCCAAGATATTTGAGCTCAAAGTTGAGCCAAGGTCAAAGAAGCGGGGCGCGTATCAAATATCCCACAATCTTTCCCAAATGTCACCAGGCCTGCATTTCTGCCCATAGAGATCTATTTTTAAAAAAAGTAGCGTATCAAATGTCCCACAATCAATCTGAAAAAGGTCCTATTTCAGCATGACAATGCCCGCCTAAACACTGCTGAACTGACTGAACTTTATGGAAATAAGGAACCAAATTCATAGAGATAAGGATCCAAATTTAGAGAGATAAGGATCCAAATCTAGATAGATAAGGAACCAAATTTAGAGAGATAAGCAAACTAAACACTGCTGAACTGACTTGCTCTATAATCAAGAGTTTGGTCTAAAAACTTCTCGCCTACTCAGCACAAATTGGCCGTCAATTTTGCTGATTATTCTAGTATCGAATAAATTATGAATCCTTTAAAACTCACCCCTTTCTCCTCGTAAAGTTTCTTCATCCCAGCACGTAAACGATCCCACAACCAGTAATGGTTATTGATATTGTAACGGGCATTTCTAAATATCTAGATGACGATAAACCTTAAGCAATTGTACTTGTACCTGTACTTGTACTTGTACCTGTACTTGTACTTGTACCTGTACTTGTACCTGTACTTGCACTTGTACTTGCACTTGTACTTGTACTTGTACTTGCACTTGTACTTGCACTTGTACTTGTACTTGTACTTACGTTAAGCTACGTTAAAGATACGTTAAGCAAAAGCACTTTGAAAAACAAACGTGAAGTTGAAAGTCCAATAATCGTGGATATTCTCTGTGTCATTTGTCATTGTCGTTGTGAAAATATGGCCATCACAGTGACGAGCCCATGTGGCCTAAAGAAGATTGTTCTCTGAATCTCAAGAACTCATACATTAACCGTTTTGATTTTATCGACATGAGAGGGCATTGTGTTGATCATACAGAAAATACGAGGCCATCTTCGATCTAAACTTTGAAATGATAGGCTTTGAAAGAAAATCAGATCATTTGCGTTGTTTACTAGAAATTAACACAGATTTCCGGATACTTAGCTACATAGCTAGCCCATTAAGCTACAGCTACAACTACAGCTACAGCTACAGCTACAGCTACAGCTACAGCTACAGCTACAGCTACAGCTACAGCTACAGCCACAGCTACAGCTACAGCTACATCTTCAGCTTAATAGAGCTTTTAAATGAAGATTTCAAATGAATCGATTCATTAATCATTTCTAAATTATTTCGAAAGATTTTCCGTTCAACCTAATATCTAGATGCTTTACTTGTTTCCTTGATTTGCTTATTTCTAGAGCAAAAGCTTTAGCGCTTAAATCAGGACAAAACCAAGCTGTGTCTATTTGGAGTTTAAGCTTTTAACTCTCAAAATCAAAATAGTACTTGTCGAAAAGTTATTGCTAAGATGTAGCTGTAGCTGTAGCTTAATGGAATTGCTATGTAGCTGTAGCTGTTATTGCTAAAGAGTCACTAGATTAATCTGTTTCTAACAAGACTGAATCCCAGTTAACAACTTTTTTCATTGTCTAATTTTTGTGTGTCTGTTTTCTGTGCTTAGACACGACTCAGATCTAGTCAGAAATAAAGAATCAAGTCTTTCAGAAGTCCTGTGCTTACAAATTGCCCCAAAATACAAAACCCTGCTCACCGGGCGTAATCCCCAGCTCTTGCATCAACGATTTCTCCTCGTTCATTTCCAATTGATCATCGTATCCACCATTTTCTGTATCATCCGCCAAAACTGAAAAAGATTTTGCCAAAGTTTCCTTTCTTAATTCTCAATTTCTTAATTTCTTAATCTCTTAATTTCTGAATTTCTGAATTTCTTAGTTTCTTAATTTCTTAATTTCTCAATTTCTTAATTTCTCAATTTCTTAATTTCTTGATTCTTAATTTCTTAATTTCTTAGTTTCCCTAAAGTCGCGAGTATAAGTTCTGTTTCGTTTTCGCATGCAAATTGACGGCTGTCTCCGGTGCGGTGTGTCGAGGGTTCGAACCCCGCTGCAGCATAACTTTTTTGCTTCTTAAGAACAATAATAGAAGTAAATTTATTGAGGGTTATAGCAATTTTATGCTGTTATTTGTTGCTCCGGGCGTGGCTCGGCGCGTCCGCCCTGCTCCTCTCCGGTGCTCAGTCTTATGGATCCCTCCCTGGCCTTTTCATCCGGCCAAAGTCCACGCGGCCAAAGAAAACCGCTCGACGGTCGAAAGAGATGCTTTCCAGCGTCTTCTTCAACACTATCGTCTGGATGTATCCATGCACATAACAAATAGCAATGGTGATAGGCTGTCACCATTGCTACCGTATTGGAACCGTATTGGAACCGTATTGGATTAAAAAGGAATCGTATTGGAACCGTATTGGGACCGTATTGGAACCGTATTGGATTAAAAAAAGAATCGTATTGGAACCGTATTGGAACCGTATTGGAACCGTATTGGATTAAAAAGGAATCGTATTGGAACCGTATTGGAACCATATTGGATTAAAAAGGAATCGTATTGGAAACGTATTGGAACCGTATTGGATTAAAAAGGAATCGTATTGGAACCGTATTGGAACCGTATTGGAACCGTATTGGAACCGTATTGGAACCGTATTGGAACCGTATTGGAACCGTATTGGAACCGTATTGGAACCGTATTGGATTAAAAAGGAATCGTATTGGAACCGTATTGGAACCGTATTGGAACCGTATTGGATTAAAAAGGAATCGTATTGGAACCGTATTGGAACCGTATTGGAACCGTATTGGAACCGTATTGGAACCGTATTGGAACCGTATTGGAACCGTATTGGAACCGTATTGGAACCGTATTGGAACCGTATTGGAACCGTATTGGAACCGTATTGGAACCGTATTGGAACCGTATTGGAACCGTATTGGATTAAAAAGGAATCGTATTGGAACCGTATTGGAACCGTATTGGAACCGTATTGGAACCGTATTGGAACCGTATTGGAACCGTATTGGAACCGTATTGGAACCGTATTGGAACCGTATTGGATTAAAAAGGAATCGTATTGGAACCGTATTGGAACCGTATTGGAACCGTATTGGATTAAAAAGGAATCGTATTGGAACCGTATTGGAACCGTATTGGAACCGTATTGGAACCGTATTGGAACCGTATTGGAACCGTATTGGAACCGTATTGGAACCGTATTGGAACCGTATTGGAACCGTATTGGGACCGTATTGGATTAAAAAGGAATCGTATTGGAACCGTATTGGGACCGTATTGGAACCGTATTGGATTAAAAAAGGAATCGTATTGGAACCGCATTGGAGTATCCCGCGCTCCAAGAACAATAATAAAAGTTTATATAACAATAAAAATGTATAAAAACCCAACAAAAATAAATTCAAAGCAATTAAAAAGCGAATGTAAATTAAGGCAGAACTTATACTCGGATCAACTTATACTCGAGACTTTAGGGTTCTTAATTTCTTAATTTCTTAACCCACTTTCCACAGGTTCACGTTTTTCTTCATCGGCCAAACGAGGGAAATCATCTAAAAATGGAAATTAAAAACGCAATTTAAAAACGCAAACGCAAAAAAGATACTATATAATTTGTCAAATTTAATCAAAGCACTTTTTAAAAATGGAGAAGTTGGCGCGAAAGCCACCCATCCAATCCCGATTCCCACCAGAGTGGCCACGAAAAGACGCCTGAATTTACTAGCTTTGATTGAATAGTGTGATTGTTAGTTATTGAATAGTGTGATTGTTAGTGATTGAATCACCATCGGCTAATTTACTACCTATCAATGTGGACATCTTTAGATTTAAGCACTTTAAACTAAACATTTTGATCGATCACTTAACAAACAGGCGATCGATTTGAGCTTTAAGAGAATCGAGAGACGAAACATTCAATTCTGGTTGCGCTGTTCGCTCAATTTAGCTACTGTTTAAGTAAAACAATGGGTTTAACAGGTTACAGAGTTTATAGCAAATATACAGCCAAATTTAGGGGAAAAATCGGTTATCGGACATTTGATATGCGCCCCGCTTCTTTGCCATTGGCAATCTAACTTTGAGCTCAAATATCTTGGCTTTGGGTTGTTGGATTCAAACATTCTTGGTATCTATAGATTCGTCAAGCCTTTCTCTATTGATTGGTATAAAAAACATTTAAATTGGACAACCCAAAACCAAGAGATTTGAGCTCGAAGTTGAGCCAATGGCAATCTAACTTTGAGCTCAAATATCTTGGCTTTGAGTTATTCAATTCAAACATATTTGATATCATTAGATTCATCAAGTCTTTCTCTATCGATTGGGATAAAACTATTTCAATTGAAGAACCCAACACCAAGATATTTGTGTTCAAAGTTGGATTGCCAATGGCAAAGGGGCGGGGCTCGTATCAAATGCCCCACAATCCAAAAATCGATCCCAGAAATGGCTAAAAAGTAGAGAATCGATTAGTAATCGAGAAAGTTGACAGATTTTCGAAAACGATCAGCTCCCAAAGACTTTGGGTACGTTTATAAATCCACCGTAAGCGCCACAAACCTGTGACTGTTCATCGTGGCTCGTAATCAATCTACAATTATACCCAATATCTAAACTTTGCTTTAAATAAGGCTTATGAAAAACTAACTTATGAAAAATAGAGGAAAAATCGAAAGAAATCTTGAAAGAAATCGTTTATCTGAACTTGTTTTTCTCGATTTTAAAAAGCTAAAAAGAATAGAAGAGTGAATCGTTTCGATCAAAGCCATTTTTCCCCTTGAAAAGACGCGAAAAAGCGTCCGCAATTCTAATATTTGTGCAGATGGCCCGGAAACACGACTATAACTCTGTCGATGCACAAAAAGAGAAGATCTCTTTGAAATTTTACAAGCACTTCATTGAAATCGAAGCGGGGGAATTTCGAATCTCTTTGTTTGTTTTACGAAATGGTGTGGATTTGTTGGAATCGATTCGGAAGTGATCAAAATTTCTGTTTCCAGCTTTAGAGACATTTCTTTTGTCTAATCCGTTTTCGTTTTCGAAGGTAAATGTTACTTGTTTGAGCAGGGATTGCTGTTGTGACAACGACTGTTGCATAAAACGTTTGACTTGAGACATACACATCGACCATTTACGCAACCATTTGTACATTTCCAGTGCTTGTGGCCCGAACAATTAAAGCAATTAAACAAACACAGGAAAGCAATTAAACAAACGCTACAAAAAAAATTACTTTGAAATCCGGTGAGAGATTCAGCGCCTACTGCTGAGCGAAATGATTTCTCCTTTGATAAAAATCTCGATGACATCCTTCGATATTCCATGATATTCCCTCAGTGCTTTCCACATTATGTCCCGTCCTGCGTGTTTATGATCCTTGTGTGTTTTCATCATCAGTTCAAAGAGATCTGGTACTGATTGCAAATCGATCAGATCCACTTGGGCCCGCTCATTTTGTTGTTTGGTGATGATTGGCTTGACAACGACTCCTTTTTTCGACGTGCCTTTGTTCAATTCACATTCAGAACAGAGTTTGACAAAAATCTCGATGATATCCTTCGATATTCCATGATATTCCCTTAGTGCTTTCCACATTATGTCCCTTTCAGGGTGTCCATGATCCTTGTGTGTTTTCATCATCAGTTCAGAGAGATTTTCCTTGATGATCAACGAGTGATCTCGTTTCATTTATTCGGTTCTTCCAATGTTGTAAATGATGTCCAGATTGTTCTCCTTTTGCAAAGTAAAGCGCGCCAACAAATTCATTTCTTCAGGAGTCCTTTTTCCTTTTGTATCTTCACTGGTTATTCGTTTGATCGTTTTCACTATTTCGGCGTGTTTTGTGACATCGGGAATCCAATTGTATTTCTTCGTAGATTGATGTTGCGTAGGGTGCTCGACAAATTTACTTTCCATTTCTAAAAAAATAACTAGAAAAGTTGAAACGATACACGAGATAAATCGAAAAGAAGAAACGATTGAAAAATTATTACTCAACTATTACTTAAAATAAAAATTATTACTCAACTATTACTTAAAATAAAAATTATTACTGATTAAACACCGAAGAAAGTAATAGTTTGTGTCTAAAAGATGGAATGAGTGGCGTTGTTTTAATTTTTTTTTCGAAAACATCTTTTTAAAAAGATTTGACAACAGAAGGCAACAATTTGACAACAGAAGGCAACAATTTGACAACAGAAGGCAACAATTTGACAATAGAAGGCAGCAATTTGACAATAGAAGGCAGCAATTTGACAACAGAAGGCAACAATTTGACAATAGAAGGCAGCAATTTGACAACAGAAGGCAACAATTTGACAACAGAAGGCAACAATTTGGCAACAGAAGGCAACAATTTGACAACAGAAGTTACCTCCCGAGGTGTTAAAATATTTGGTCCTATTAACCTAACTTTTTTATTTGCATGTGAGATAAATCTGCATTGTATTCCAAATGTTTCATTAAAAAAAACGCACTTTTGTACGCACAAAACCATTTGTACACTCACAGTGCTTGTGCCCTAAGCAAAAGCAATTAAACAAACGCTACAAAAAATACCTTGAGATCCGGTGAGAGATTCGGCGCTGACTGCTGAGCGAAATGATGTCTCCTTTTGTCCGTGTCCATGATCCTGTTTTCATCAACAGTTCAAAGAGATTTTCCTTGATGACTCGTTTCATTTCGTTGATGATCACTCGTTTCATTTATTCGGTTCTTCCAATGTTGTAGATGATGTCCAGATCGTTTTCCTTCCGCAAAGTAAAGCGCGCCAACAAATTCATTTCTTCAGGAGTCTTTTTTCCTTTCGTATCTTCACTGGTTATTTGTTTGAGGGTTTTCACCATTTCGGCGTTTCGGCATTTCGGCGTTGGCATCAGGAATCCAATTGTATTTCTTCCTAGATTGATGTTGCATAAGGTGATCGACAAATTTACTTTCCATTTCTAAAAAAAATAACCAGAAAAGCAGATACACTAGATAAATCGAAAAGAAGAAACGATTGAAAAATTAAATTAAAACTCATTAAAACATTAAAACTACTCATTAAAACACCGAAGAAAGTAATAGTTTGGGTCTAAAAGATGGAATGAGTGGCACTGTTTTAAATTTTAAAAAAAGACATGTTTCGGCTAGCCGATGGTGATTCAATCACTAACAGCTGAAAATCACGAGCGACTGCGACATATATTTATAAGAAATTTAAAAGAATTTTTTGAAAGCAAGCAAAAAGCAAAAAGTGGGGATCGGAATTGAACCCGAAAGAGAAAGCTCGCTGTGCCAGCGTGCTACTCACTAGGCCATTGGGGCACATTTTACCGAGTGCAAAAGAGGCCTTTTAGCTCCGAGTAGATGCCCAAATTTTAAAAGCGTTTTTGTCGAGAATGTTGCTTTCTTGACAAAGATCTAAATGTGGTATTGGATTCCAGAGGCGGCCATGGTCGAGTGGCTAAGAGGCTTGTATCTTGGTCGAGAGGTCAAGGGTTCAATCCCCGCCGGGTAGATTATTGGTTCTTTTTCTCATATATGGCTTTTTATATATATGGCTTTATATATATGGCTTTTTAAATATATGGCTTTTTTCCATTCATTGATTATGGCTTTTTCCTACATTTAGGGGTTGTGCTTGTATTGTACTGTACTGTACTGGTATTGTACTGGTATTGTACTGTACTGTACTTGTGTTGTACCACATTGTTCATCTCAATAGATGTATTTAAGAGTCATCACAACGAGTAATGTTAATCTTACTTAGGGCTATTGTACCAAGTAATCTACCTGATGCAGTTATTCCATTGTTACCATACCATGCCCAAGTTGGACACTACTTTTATAGGTTATAGGTATAGGTTATTGATTTTTATAGGTTTGGGAATACAAGTCGAGTCGAGGTCGAGGCCGGGATTCGGACCAGCGACCCATTCGTAGAGCGTTCGCTTACCGGGCGAACACTCTACCAATGAGCTACAGCGAGGCGTGTCACATTGCCGCAAAGGGGCTGTTATGCCCGTACAAAGCCGTACAAATCCGAAGCCCGTACAAATCCGCATTGTACTTTATCATAAGCTAGTCAATTATCATGCTGAAAGTGCATTTTCATCTTCTAAACTGAAAAGATTCATTCACCGACCAGCACCCATTTCAAAAATCGTATCATTATGCGAGATTTTCAAACCGAAAAAACACAGAACTTTATCAAGGCAAGGATCATGGCTGAAAGGGTTATCTAAACAAGTTTTGTATTGTCATGTACAAGCTGACTGATTTACAAATGTGCCACTGCAAAAACCCATCATTTCTGGTGCGAAATTGCTCATTTTTCTTCCGCCAATGGCTTGCTATGAAGAAATGAGTGCACCAGAAAGATGCGTTTACAAGTTTCACCTCAAAGTACACCTTAAATAGAGAAAATTTACAAGGAAATTCTCTATATTTCATTAGAAAGAAGGATTTTTCTCAAATCACAATCGAAATCAACACGAAGTCAGCACTTTTTAAAATTAAAATCAACTGTTTTCAAAAGCTAAATCTAGATCAGCAAATTTCATTTGTAAAATTAAGTAGTACAGGGTTTTTGAGGAGTAAGTTGTAGACATTGACACTACAAACTACAAGCTAAAAGCTCAAACTACAGACTACAAGCTCCAGCTCAAACTACAAACTACAAACCCTTGTAGAAACTCACAAAATGAAGATTTTTGAAAACTTTTTTTACTAAAAAAATTAGCCAAACTTTAGGCTTTCGAATGACACCAAAATCAAGTTAATTAATCCTTTTTTATTCCAAGAACCAACCATTTATAGCTATTTGTCTAGAAACCTGAAAGAAAACGTTGTATCTCATCACCGAAAACCTAATTTCGCTTGATTTTGGTGTCATTCGAAAGCCTAAAGTTTGCCTAATTTTTTTAGTAAAAAAAAGTTCTCAAAAATATCTATCCTGCGCTTTTCTACAAGGGTTTGTAGGTCTGGGCTTGTAGTTTGTAGTGTCAATGTTTAAGTTTTTAGTATTTAAACTCGTGAAAAGCGTCCCAAATGTCGTTTACAGCATGGGCACAAGTGAACCACGTCGAGACACGGCTCCAAACAAAACGGGATACAGCAGAAACACCTGAAAAGAAATTGATTTCATTGTGTCTACCAATTTTGGCTTTAGAACGGCTTTAGAACGGCTTTAGAACTCCTCTAAAACTCCTCTAAAACTCCTCTAAAACTAACCAGGGGATTCCAAAGAGGAAAAAGCCGAGAATGATGCAAACGGAGAAAATGATCCAAGGCAAGATACCGGCAACGCGTTCAATGTGCGTGATGATGTGAGCCTGAAAGTGAGTCAGTCAGTCAGTTTAGGCATTTTGCTGGTGTTTCAGAGTACGATAGCCAGAATATGTTACACTTTTTTATACGCGCCCGCTTCTTTCCCATCGGCTCAACTTTGAGCTCAAATATCTTGGCTTTGGATTGTTCAATTTAAATAGTCTTGGTACCGTGGGATGCGCCAATTCTTTCTCTATCGATTAGTAAAAAAGTATTTAAACTGAACAACCCAAAGCCAAGATATTTGAGCTTAAAGTTAGAGTGCCAATGACAAAGGGAGCGGGGCGACGGACCTTCCATACAAGCAACATATCTTGGCTTTGGATTGTCCAATTAAAACAGCTTTTATACTAATCGATAGAGAAAGACGTGACGTATCCAATGATACCAAAAATGTTTAAACTGAGCAATCCAAAGCCAAGATATTTGAGCTCAAAGTCGAGCCAATGGCAAAGAAGCGCGGCGCCTATCAAATGTCCCACAATCTTTCCCAAATTTCACCAGGCCTACATTTCTGCCCAAAGAGATCTATTTAAAAGAAAGTCACGTATCAAATCTCCCACAATCAATCTGAAAAAAGTCCTATTTCAGCATGACAATGCACTGCTGAACTGCCACGCTCTATAATCAAGAGTTTTGTCTAAAAACTTCTCGCCTACTCAGCATATACCCCAGATCAGCTTACCATTTATTGGTTCTGATGTGAAAATTTCCTAGAGAACGCTTTGAAGATAGAAAAGATGCCAAAAAATGGGTACAGAACTAGTTTGACTCGAAAACAAAGAATATTTAAGAGAGAGGAATTCGCCTTTTACCAAAAAAGGATACCTATATAACAATTCATTTACAAAGTCTAACGGAAATCTAACGGGCACAAGCTATCGACAAACACAGAAACTATTTTAATTGATGGCTTTTTTGAATCAATATTTCTATTTGAAATTTGAAATGATTACTTATGGGCTAACCGAATTTGTACTGTACCGGGACGCGGCAAAATATGCCAAAATATGACAATATACCCCTTTTAGAATTGCTTTAGTCATTCAAAATCTTTATTTCTTTTACCTGACAATGTGGACAATCGATTTCGACCGGCATCGCTCCATAGACAGAGGTCCGTGCTTGGAGAAGGATCGGAGCTGCTGGGGCACCGCCTGGGAAATATTATGAAACTAGGAAACTATGAAACTATGAAACTATGAAACTATGAAACTATGAAACTAGGAAACTATGAAACTATGAAACTATGAAACTAGGAAACTAGGAAACAAGGAAACTATGAAACTATGAAACTATGAAACTAGGAAACTAGGAAACAAGGAAACAAGGAAACTATGAAACTATGAAACTATGAAACTAGGAAACAAGGAAACAAGGAAACTATGAAACTATGAAACTATGAAACTCAGACTTTCTCTACTAAACTAAGGGCTTAAAGAAGAAGAAGACAGATCCTAGAACTAAAGACAGAACTAAAGACCTTGTTTGAAACATTTCTGATTCGTAAACTGACTGGCCTAGTTTATTCACTGACTGACTCAAAAAGTCAGACCAGAGGAGATGAGATGTTCTAAAACCAAGCCAAAAGGCAGGCCAATTCCACCTGGTTAAGCTAGAGACAGAAGTCATAGCTGGATCTGGTTTGGCTTTAGTCTAACCTGGCTTTAGTCTAACCTGGCTTTAGTCTAACCTGGCTTTAGTCTAACCTGGCTTTAGTCTAACCTGGCTTTAGTCTAACCTCGCTTTAGTCTAACCTGACTTTAGCCTAACCTGGCTTTAGCCTAACCTGGCTTTAGTCTGGCCTGATCTAACTGACAGATGCCTTGACTTGTTTAAAACATTCCAGCTCTTCTTCTGGCTACTACTAGCTTTTCACTAGCTAACCGTAAAACTTTGCTTGCTTGCTTTATATCTTGCTTTATATCTTGCTTTATCTTGCTTTATCTTGCTTTACTTTTCAAATGAAACCTACCCAATGGTGGAGGTACAGTGGTGGTGCCCTGGAAGACATAGGGAGCCGGTGGTTGTACAGGGTATCCAGCTGGACCGATCACGGGATTTGCGCGAACCTCATTGGCACGATTCTGTTCCTGTGCCTAGAATGATGAGTTTGTTAATAATATCACCTTCGCGTTAATCTTTCTAGATCTTTCTAGATACTCAGAGACAGATATTTGCAGATAAAAGTAAGCCAAACTACAGGGTGATCGCCAATTATGGCGACACTTTTTGGAAAACTTGCTGACAAACGCCTGACCAATCACTAAAGTGCCAAGTGTTATTTAGAAAAATAAAGCCCTGAATCTTGGCATTATTTATCTATAAAGAAGTTCTCGATTGGAATTATACAACTCATTTTACAAGCTCTTGAATGAGCTCAAGTCAAATTGCCAATTTGCCATTTTTGGCACTTTTTTGGCTTATTGAATACTGAATTCTTCATTTCTTCACATAAGAAAATGAAGAATTCGGTGCACCAGAAGGGATGGGTTTACATTTAAGCACAAAAAACAGAACAGAACAGAACACAGAGCAGAACACAGAACAGAACAGAACAGAACACTGACCTCTTCATAGCTAGGCGGAGCTGCGTACGCCTCGGCTGCTTTGTTCTCCATGACCTGGAAAAAAAGAATAAAGTATACAAACTTATAACAAGTGAAGATAGAAATCTTATTAATAAAACGTTCCACCGTTTTGTCAAAGCCTCTTTTCCCCCACACCAATAGCCAAAGCACCACCAAACTCCTATCGACGGATGTTTTTGTGGGAAAGGTGTGTCTCTTCCTTTTCCCTTTCAATTCACACAATGTTTCACTTCAAGATCCCTCTTAGACCTTACGTAAGCGTAAAAACCCTATAAATTCTATAAAGCTTTTGTTGTAGTGCGCAACAGTTTCATTAAAAATTGGCTAGCGGGAATTTTTCATTAAAAATTACAATCTACTAGCCAGCCTAAGCTCTGTTTTGTTTGCGCTGTTTTGTTTGCGCTTTCGTGCGTGATTAGAAAAATTGTGTATCTAAAGAAATAGTTTAAAAACACATCATCTTTCATGGCTACAACAGGTACTATTAGAAGATAGCATTTAAATTTCTCCAATTCCCCCAACAAGCCAGCTGTTACAGATGGCTTTTTTTGAAATTTTTATAGACTTTCCATTTATTTTTCCAATAAGTTTATTTAATATTTATTTCATTAGTATTTATTTCATGAACATTTATTTCATTAACATTTAACTAAATATAGTACCGATTTGAGGTTGAAATAAGACTGGCTTGATAACCAAATAGTACCTTTATTGATATACCTTGATATACCTTTACATGAAAATTTCCCCGTTCTCTTTGCACTGTTACTTTTTGGTTTTTTGCTCAAAGATTACATTAAAGCTATGTATTTTAACTTTTTCTTTTGACAGTTATTGTATTTTGATCATTTTTCTTTTTCTTTTCTTTCTTTTCTTTCCTTTTATCATTTTTTCAATTCTAGAATGCAGGCCGGCCCGTCATCGTCAAATGGCACACTTCACCAAAACGGACATCAAGAATATAGAAACCGAAAGGTATGGATTTAAAAGTTGTAAGCAAATAGATGTAAACAAAATACTTAAATGCTGATTCTATTGCTAAATCTATTGCTGAATCTATTGCTGATTTATGAGATAGTCTAATTATTGAGCTAGCTCGAGGTAGTCTAATGATTGAGCTAGCTCGAGATAGTCTAATTATTGAGCTAGCTCGAGATAGTTTAATTATTGAGCTAGCTCGAGATAGTCTAATTGTTGAGCTAGCTCGAGATAGTCTAATTATTGAGCTAGCTCAAGATAGTTTAATTATTGAGCTAGCTCGAGGTAGTCTAATGATTGAGCTAGCTCGAGATAGTCTAATTGTTGAGCTAGCTCGAGATAGTCTAATTATTGAGCTAGCTACGTAAAAGTACACGTAAACAACCTAATTCGAATTTCATGAACACCATTTTCTATAAGAATTCGTTTTAGGTTGCTTCGAAATCGAAATCGCCAAGCGAACTTGATCTGGAAATCTTGGTATAAACATTTTTTTGATTTGAGGAGAAAATAATGCGCGTTTTGAATTTAGCATCAGGAATTGAAATTGAAATTCAACCCAACACTCACGACTTTGCAACACTCATGATTCACTCATGACTCTTGACTCATCCCTTGCGAGCTTGCAAAAATGTCAGAAATTTTACAATTTTCTGAAATTGAATGTCAGAAAATGTCAGAAGCAGGCTTGCAAACGGAAAAAAAAGTGGAAATTGAATATCTTTTAATTTTCAAAGAAAAATTCAAAAAATCATGCTCAAGTCAAAAAAAGCGGCTATTTTGGCTCCAAAAATCCTCAATTTTTCATTAATGGAATCAGGGATTTGGGTCTAGACTTGCTTATCGATATTATCGAAATGGCATGCTGATGTTTGCCCGTTCAGATCTCAGCTTCTAGAACAGCAGCTGTTCTAGGAAATTGTTTCGGAAAGTTTTGTTTTGGAAAGTCAAGAATATCAGCTTTTGATTGCTATTTTACATAGCGATTTGTAATGAGTAAGCACCTTAAAACCTTTATTGATACTTATCGATATCGAAAGTATCGATAAGCGATAAGATTATCGATATCGATAAGCTTTCGATATTTGAGTATCGATAAGCATTGATAGCTAAGTAAATCGATAATTAAGTAACTTCGATCGATAACTAAGTAACTTTTTAAGGCACTCACCCACGAGAGTTTGCTATGTGTGAGATAGCAATGAAAAGCTGACATTCTTGGCTTTCCAATGAAACACTTTTCAGGTTGATAGCTGCTCTAGAAACCAAGATCTGAGCGGTCAAACATGAGCTTGCCGTTTGTATCGATGAGATCGATAAGCAAGTGTACTTGCGTCGAAGATGGGGAAAAAGACATCGATAAAAATGAAGAATACTTACTGATTGATAGTTTCTATTTTCTAGAGCTTATCTAGAGCCTCTAGAGCTTCTGGAGCTTATCTAGAGCTTCTAGAGCCTCTAGAGCTTCTCTAGAACTTATCTAGAGCTTCTAGAGCCTCTAGAACTTATCTAGAGCTTCTAGAGCCTCTAGAGCCTCATAGAATGCAATAATTGTTACACCTAAAAACGCGCATTATTTTTTTCTCAACCTACCGTAAATACTTTAATAGAAGCCCTGTCTATAGTTTACCCTCAAACAAACGCTCATCTCTCGACACCAGTACGTCTGTTTTTACGCGCTTAGGTACCAAATTAAAGTAGAGAGAATGAGTGATTTTTTGAGATATAACACATATTTTTAGCATTAACCAGCGCTTAGAAAAAAATGATGATACCCAAGCGCGCAGAAACAGTGTTGTGTTGAGATTGAGCGTTTGTTTGAGTGTAAACTTAGACTACGCGACGCTCCTATAGGGCTTCTATTAGAGTATTTACTTTTTTTTTATCTATTAGAGTAATATATTCTAGAGAAACTCTCATTTTCAGCAAGAAAGGGATCAGCTGAGGGTCGAACTGAAAGAGCTACGAGAAATTCATGTAAGTTGAACAAAGTTGTGCTCGAATTTGTAAACGCATTGCTTCTGGTGCACCTAATTCTCTATTTTCTTTTTGAAGCTTGATACGGTGTCAAGAGTTCAGTGCGCTAGCAAGGGATTTGTGTTTAGATTTTTGAGCACAAAGAACAATTTACTTTGTACTACGCTTGTTTATCGGTCAAATTGGTTCAGATAAACTGGACGAAAATATCGTAATCTTTCTTTAATTTGCACTGATTTTAAAGGATAAACAAAGTGTACAATTAGCAAGATTTTCTGATAAACAATCATCAAAATTTTCATTTTCCCAATTTTAGAAAAAGTCTTCCGACGAATTGTTCGACATGAAGATCAAAATGACTGAGTGGATGGTCCTTTTATCGCCATATCGAGAGATCTATGAAGTATGAAATCTCTAAAGTCAACTTAAGGCTTTATTTATCAGTCAACATAAGGCTTTATTTATCAGTAAGCTATTAAAAATAAGATAAAGAGCAGAAATCACGTTTTCACTATCATAAATGATTAGATTCTAGAGCTATCGGGAGATAGCATTTGCTGGTTAGATTCTAGAGCTATCAAAAGTTTCTCAGAGCATTTGCTAGCCAAGTTTTCTTTTTAAAGCTTTTATCAATTAAAGTTAAAGCTATCCAAATTCAAATTAGCTCCAAATTGAAAAACTTAATTCAAATCTTAATTGTAAACCTATAGAAATCAAAAAATCCTATCAACACCGTCGTTTTAGGGTCATGGAGTTTATAGGCAATGGATGCCTTATGAAATCAACAAATCACGTGAGTTTTTAATATGAATATGTCAATGAATTTTTGAAAATATGTCAATGAATATGAAATGGCTAATTCATATAAATTTCTCCCGTTTCTGTTTGGTTAGAATGAAAAGTTACCGTAAATACTGTAATAGTACCCCACCCCCATAATGACGGTGCGGAGCGTTGCGTAGTCTAGCTTTGAACGAATGTTTCTCGACACTGGTTTATGCTACAATGCGCGCTCAGGTATCAAAAATAGCCCTGAATTTCAGCTATTTTTTGATACCTAAGCGCGCATTGTAGCATAAATCAATGTCGAGAAAAACTCGTTCAAAGCTAGACTACGCATCACTCCGCACCGTCATTATGGGGGTGGGGTACTGTTACAGTATTTACGGTATAATCTTAGAAAGTTATAATCTTAAGATTGACAGCTAGCTTAAGCTAATAACAGGCAACTTTTTTATTTGACATGAAATGAAATGGAGAAATGGAGAAACTTAGATCGTTGAGTCAACAACCTTGATGTTCTTTTAAGCCAAAGTTCTATTAGCTCGATATTTTTTTGAATCATTCTATTCAAAGATTTCAGTGAATTTTTATTAATGTTTTTTGAATTTTGATAATTTGAAGCAATAAAGCCTGGGATTTCTTAATGAAATAGCTTTTTATGATTTGAGCCCATGAAAATCATGACTGCTTGAAATAGTTTATTCCAAAGCTGGAATCTTTTGTCAAAAAGCTGATTATTAAGCAAAAAGCTGGTCAAAAAAGCGGATTATGGCATAACTTTTCACTAGCAACAAATCATAAAAGAGTAAAACCCGCAATTCCCACAGTTCAAGTACGGGTAGGCAACATTCCAATCCTAAATTCTATAATACACCTAAACTACCGTACTCGAGACGGCGTCTGCCTTTCCGCCCCTTCCTCCCATTCCTTTAAAATTGATTCTTTTAGAAAATCGGGTACTTGTGGAGTATCCGGGGGGTCTTTCAATATCCGGGGGGGTCATCGGCGTGAAATAAGGCAAAAATGCTTTTTCTATAGGATTTTTCTGGGAGTACCTTTTTTAGATGCGGAAAATTGTGCTGATTCCGAATCTGAAGGAATTTTCCAAATCCCTCTGACAGAAATTTTTTAAATTGAGTTTTAGCAGTTTTTTGGTCATTTTGTATGGGAAATTTTGTGGTACCCTGCAGTTTGGAGCTCGTAACTCGACAACGAGGGTCTAGAACCAAAAACGAAGGAGTAGGTCTTATTCTAGAGATTCTTACGAATATTTTGATGCAAAAATCATAAAATTTGCTCAACTCTACAAAAAGTTATAACATTTTTTAAAGAAGAAATGAGAAAATTTAAAAAATTCTCTATTGCACAATTGTTTTGTTCAAAAGAACAATGTAGCTATGTATCGTATTCACTCAAAACAATTAAGGAATATGCAAAATAATGACTGAAGTGCGCGGGAGAGTCGAACCAACAACCCCGTACTTTTGCGCTGGATTTTAAAATTTTAAGATCCGGGGTAAACTTTCAAAAACCAACCAAATGCCCAAAAATGTTTTTCTTGTTAATAGAACTTTCGCATCACGCTCGGAAAGCGCGCTCACCTCAGAATATCGCATTCTGAAAAAAAAACTTTTGATAGTATCCTAGTTGGGGGAACCACTTTTTTCTTCGAAACCACATGTGGGTTGGGCATCTGCCGGACCCACATCAACACATAAAATTACCTCAAAAAATGGTTTTGAAGAAAAAAAAAGGACCCGCCAACTAGGATATTATCAACATTTCTAATAATGACATAAAAAATTTTGTAGAAGTTACGTTTTTGATCGAGTATCACCTCGAATTACGTAATTAAGTAATCACCTCAATAAATTGAATATCTTTACATTTGAAGGGAATTTGCCACCAAATCACTTAAACCGGCTGAATATCTTTAAAAGGGGTCGTGTATAACGTATATAAAATTTTACCCCACCGGATCGGGGGTGGGACAAATGCGACCTTCTTTTTGCGCACCCGTTGCCCGGTCCGGCACTTCGCTGTTTCTTTTTCGCGTACATGTTCCTCTTTCTCGATTCCGTTTAAAATTTTGTTTATTGTCAAAATTGGTACTTGTATGGCTTACATGACCCATTTTTTTCTCGAAATTGACCACAAATCACCAAATCGACCCTTCAGAAAGAAATGAAGGTGTATCACACCAAGCTGGCGGATCGATTTGGAAGTGCAACGCTCAGCGTTGTCGAAACTCCAGAAGAATCTACCGTTACGGCTACTATTGGATTGGTGAATTGAAAACTGCGGGCTATTTCGCGGGACTCGCAGATAAAGAAAACAACAGCATAGAACCAGTTGAAAGGGGGATTTGTTTACTTCAACATTTCCTCTAATTATTGCGAAAAAATTATGCTTCCAGCTTTTTATTTTTGGGTATTTTTCTTCACTTCTATTGCACTCGACAATCTGCTACCGGGACATATTCGTCATGTCATGCTTCATGCGTTCCTACAAGAGCACAGTGCAGGCTTGGCAGCTGCTAGTATTAAAAAGATATATGGGGAGGACTCACCTTCCGAAAGAACGTGTCGAGTATGGTTTGCCAAGTTTCGATCTGGGGACAAATCTTTAAAAGATGCTGAGGGCCGTGAAGCGGCACCCCAACTGGATGATTCCAAATTACTCGAACTCATTACCAACGACCATCGGGTATCATCGCGTGAATTGGGAGAAGAGTTAGGGGTTGATCATGCTACAGTCCTTTATACCTTTATACCCTTGGATTTAAATCGAAACTTGGGGTTTGGGTCCCCATGACCTCAATAACCCCCAGAAGTGGTAGCGCGCCTCCATCAGTGCCGATCTCTCACAGTACAAAAGGAAATCCTTTCTTCCTCGAATTGTAACAGGAGATGAGAAATGGGTTTTATCAGTGAACTTTCGGAGGAAGTGGCAATGGGTGGGGCCAGGCGAGAAACCCGAAAGTGACCCCAAGCCCGATTTGCGCCAGAAGAAGTTTATGCTCTGCCTTTTCTGGGATATGGAGGGGGTTGCTGGATAGCAAGACGACCCGGTTCTCAGTTCGGCTTCATGCAGCTTGTTCCACGTAGAGATGCTACCGATTATCCAAGCTTTCATTCGATCTAGCTCTACGATCTACAGCGATCTTTGGCACGCGTATACTAGGCATACCACGAATTGCCCAACTCTACCGTCACATGGTAAAAAATTTTTTTGCCAAATGAGCTCATTTTTTGCACCCAAGGGATTTTGACTATGCTGAATCGATTGGTGATGGTTTTACACAACATTTCGTAACTTTTAACAACATTCAAGGCTCCTATATTTACCTAGGCTTTGACTCCGCACCTTAGCGACACGTGGCTCCTAAGCTATCACCTGGCTCCTAAGCTCCTGATTCTCCCACGGCTGAGGTGAGTTTCGTACCGGAAGTACGTGGCTTCTAGCTGGAACGAAACTCACCTCAGCCGTATGAGGATCAGCCGATAGCCTAGAAGGGTGCAAAAAATGAGCTCATTTAAAGAAAAAAATTTTTGCCCTCCCCCTCACCCTAACTACTAAAGCATCTTGAGTTTTAAAAACGGACATTTTCCCGCTACTAAATTGCCTTAAAAGTAACTTTTTCGTGATCAGCGTCATCAATTATCCCGGGAAAAATGGTTTTGGTGGAAAAGTGCCCCCCCCCCTCCCCCAAAGCCCATAGTACCAATATCTTTTCTGGTACTTTTCCAATATCGGGGGAGCGGTCCGATTATCGGGGGAGCGAAATGAAAATCAGGGGAGCAAATTTTGTCCCCACGAAAAATGCATTTCCAGGAGCTGAGAGACTGCAACGCTTTTTTAAACTTTAACGACGATGCGCTTCTCCGACATTTGTGCGTTTAAGGAATCGACGGTAATCGATTATTTTGTCACCAAAGGAGTCATCCAGTCGTGGATTTGCAACTGTGACGAATTGATGGAAGTCCGCTCAAAGGGAAAAGATCTATTTCGCTGGGTATTTTAAGTCACTTTTGTGATCTATAAAGGTTTTTAATATAAAGGTTGTGAGAATAACGGGTAATTCACGAATTTTATGGTGGTAATTTGTATAATATAGGACATACAGTGGCGAACAATTAAATAGAACCGATGCTCCATTTGCACAAAGACCACGAATTTTCCATTATTTTCACACCCATTCAAAAAAAGACATCAACAGCTATTTTTTTTGATGTTATCTTAGCTTTCGATTGGCACCACTCTTAGCTGAAAGTTCTTTCTCTGTAACTTGGTAGTTTAGGTTTTCTTCAGCCTACCCCATTATAGCCTTTGTTAATTGTTGAGTTATTAAATAAATACTAAATTATGTTTGATCAAAAGTGGTGCCAATCGAAAGCTAAGATAACATTAAAAAAAAATAGCTGTTGATGTCTTTTTGAATGGGTGTGAAAATAATGGAAAATTCGTGGTCTTGTGCAAATGGAGCATCGGTTCTATTTAATTGTCCGCCACTGTATGTAGCGCTGGCAAAATTTGCTCCCCTGATTTTCATTTCGCTTCCCCGATAATCGGACCGCTCCCCCGATATTGGAAAAGTACCTCTTTTCTTTATAAACGCCAGTCAATCCAACCCAGCCGCGAATCGTCTTGTTATCCTCTTGTTTTAGCAAATCATTTAGAATTGATGTTTCTAGGTTAAAAGATTTAGCAGTTTGGGCAAGCTTTCGAGCTGGAATTTGGATGTTTAGACCGTTACCGTTACCGTTACGTTACTAAAAAACTTTTTGGAATCTGGTGATTGGTTGGAGAAACCTGGGAAAATTTAACCACTTCATATGCATTGACCCAAGCCAATAGAAACATTAACCATTTCATATGCATTGACCCAACCGAATAGAAACATTAACCACTTCATATGCATTGACCCAATCCAATAGAAACATTACTTCTTTACTCTAGCCAACATCATATATGATAGTTTGTTTATTCAATGGATAAACTTTCTTTGACCTAAAAAAATTTGAGATTATTTTGAAAACTCTTGATTTCGTTCTGATTTCTTTCTGATTTCTTCTGAAAACCCCTGATTTCTTTCTGATTTAAAAAAATGTCGAATTTTAGAAGAAGTTCTTGGGCTCGATCGACCAGTCGAAGAGGAAATTGTGAGTTGCAAATTTTCTTTCTATTCAACTTGAGCTCTTTTCTTTTTCTATGATACTAGACCTGTTCTTCATTCCGCACTTTGTGCACAAAAGTGCTAACACACCTTTTCTCGTGCACTGAGATTAGTATAATCAGTTTTGTGTAGACAAAAGCCTAGTTAATATCTATATTTGTTGTTAATAAATGCAAATGTTCAGGCTGCCGAAAACAAGCGCTTCGCCGAATCGCAAGAACGAGGACGGATTCGTCGGATTGCGAGCCGGTGAGAAAATTGTTTTTGTTTTCTAAAATGTGTCAATTTTTGAACACCATCGTAATCTTGTTTTTAGCTTTTATCTAATTTTTTTGTCTGGTTTTATGAGGGTAACGGGGGTGGGACAAATGCTACCTTTTTTTTGCGCACCTGGACATTTGCGCACCTGGACATTTGCGCACCTTTTCTTTTTGCTGGAAAAGGCCTTAGACAAGGCCGTAGAGCTTCGAAAATATTTCCATATAAGGGAATCGTATGCGTAGATTTCGAATTTCGACAAATCAGACCTCGCTGACACGTCAAATTTGGGCTAAAAGGCAAAAACTACGCAACTTAACACTTTTCCGCAGTTTTTTGCCTTTTACCCCAAATTTGACGTGTCAGCGAGGTCTGATTTGTCGAAATTCGGAATCTACGCATACGATTCCCTTATATGGAAATATTTTCGAAGCTCTACGGCCTTGCCTAAGGCCTTTTCCAGCAAAAAAAGGTCGCATTTGTCCCACCCCCGGGTAACGAAGAATATTGAAAGATACAAAAGTGGATAGACTGGATAAAAGCTGGAGGCAAGATAGTTTTTCGAAATTGAAACGTTTCAGAAATTGTGTACTTAACAAGAGTGCGCTACAGGATGGCCGCAAATTATCGCCTCGCAGTTTTTATGTTATATCTTGGCTGTAGCTTCGCGAACCGATTTAATTCCTTTTTAATATGAAAATTAGGATAATTTTCTATTCAGAATCTCTTTATACAATTTGTAGAATGCTTTTGGGACTTTGATTAAAATCTTGGAAGATGATGCGCTCAGTTAGTTGCAATGATCTTTTTCAAAGTTTCAATTTTTAGCACTAGCAAGTCAATGTGGCTCTGAAAGTCAATTCTTAGAAGTTATCAGAAGTGAACAAATTTCCCCATTGTCGGACAGTTGTCATTATTGAGCTAAACTTCTTTATTCCTCTAAAGTCCCTTTATAGTTTTTTATAGTTCCTTTATAGTTCCTTTAGTTCCTCTAAAGTCCCTTTATAGTTCCTATTTGATTCCTTTAAAGTCCCTTTATAGTTTCTTTATACGCTCAAAAACAGCCCTTGGCATGCAACATTATTCAAGCTCTTTCTAGTTATTTTCAAACTGAAATCGGTTTCCTCGCTTGTTTTTATAAATTTAAGCTTTAAGAGTAACATTTGGATAATTCTTTAAGTTAACTTTGAGATGAACCAATAAAATTTGTCAGTTTCAAGAAAAATTCATCTTTAGGAGGCTTGTTTCATGTTTGTTGCATTGCATGTTTCATCCAAAGCTCATAAAAAACCACATGGTTGAAGATTTTTGTTGAAAAACATTTGTTTTAAGCTTTTTAACCAGAAAAGATTCAAATAAACCATGGGAGAGCCCTTAAAACCTGTTCATGAAAAGCTGCAGATTGAGTTCCGTGCCACGGGTTGTTTTGAGCGCATCATCTTCCAAGATTTTAATGAAAGTCTCAAAAGCATCCTACAAATTGTATAAAGAAATTCTGAATAGAAAATTATCCTAATTTTCATATAAAAAAGGAATTAAACCGGTTCGCGAAGCTACAGCCAAGATATAGCCTAAAAACTGCGAGGGGATAATTTGCGGCCATCCTGTAGTTGAGTTCAGAATTGAAATCATGGTTATCATTTCAGAATCATTCGAGAGCCTGAAGCGTGGAAACTTTTCGACTTCGTTGAAAAGAAATCACTGCAAAATGGTTTCCACGAAGAAAATGCTGAAATGCTGGAAGTGGTGAAAGAACAAGAAGCACAAGAAGAAGCACAACCACAAAAGGCTGGAGTCGATCAAGATCGATCAACCAGCATCCAAGAGGAAGAAAAGAAGCCGGAGAAGTTGCTAGAAAGTGATCAATTGCCATTAGTGGAACCGATTGAACCGGCCACTTCAGTCGAAAGCTTGCAAGGGTCGGTCGATGAACAGAAGCCGGCCACATCGATGAATCTATTTGAGGGTAAGTGGTGCAAAAAAGAGAGTTCTGATGATCTTCCTAATCAGTCAACGTACTTTAGCAGAGCTCTAGTACAATTGCTCGTAACTAGCTTTGATTTTCGATCAAGATGATATCGATTAGACGACGTGGCACTAACTTGACCGATCGATAAGACTCTAAGACATGAATTGAAAGCGCTAGTTTATGGCTTACCCCTTCAGCTACCATAATCTAAGTACAGTAGGATTAGTTGAGCCGATTTCAAAGTGTCCGATGACTTCTACTTGGGATTAAACTAGTGTTCAAGGATAGTACTTTACAGGGTGACCCATAAAATGTATTACGCTTTATATGAAGGGAGATTAAGTCAAAAATGTGTCCGATTACTTAAAGAAGTTTGTTATAATTTCACCTTTATAACATTTTTACACTTATACTCCAATTTTTAGCCCGATATGGAGGTTATAAGAAAAATCAGGGCCATTAGGCCTTACGGAGCTTCTAATGCCCCTAATTTTTCTTATAACCTCCCTATCGGGCTAAAAATTAGAATATAAGTGTAAAAATGTTATAAAAATGAAATGAGAACAAAAATTAAGTAATCTGACACATTTTTGACTTAATCAGCCTTCATATAAGGCGTAACACATTTTATGGGCCACCCTGTACTATTCCTTATCGATATGACTAGTAACGCTAGATATTGGCACCTAAAAATAGGCTAAAATAGACAAGTAGACAATTATAACAGCTTTGACAGTACAATATTTTCCTTTAGCCTATTCACAAGTCTTCCTCGCCTCCACCGAGCACACCAAACGAATGATTGAAGCCAGAAGAAGGTTTTAAACTTAACTCTTGTAAATATTATCTCATTCTAGCTTATCTCAATTGCCAAAGAGTGACTATCAGCTACCAGAGAATTGGTAAGTGAAATCTCAATTTTTTTAAACCCAAACTTTTTAGTAATGAAGACGGGCCGCTGGTTGTGAGATTCGTCGCCGAGTTGAACGTCACGGTCGTGATGAGAAAGTTCAAAAAGGTTTGTTGAGTGTCTGGAAAATAACGGTACTTGATCAAAATTTGTACTGTAATTTGTAAAAGGGTTGTAAATTTACAGCCTATTGCTCATTATAATATGCTGCAACGAAAAGGCCGAAAAGTCGTCTTCCGAATTTCCTATTCCAGCATACTGTAGTCAGAAAGTGCCTAAGATTACAGTAGTTCTAAAATTTGTAAGCAAAGTGTAGTGATAAGATGCAAAAACATTTAAAATGCTCAAAAATGTATACCTCTCATTTAGCCGATCCGAACGAGCCGACAACCAAAACCCCGGAAATACGCGACAAGAAGCTCACCGAGAAAACAGGTAAAAACCTAATGAAGATTTACTTCTAATTCTAAAATTTCAATGAAAATATTCAAATATTTTACAAATTCAGACCGTCCAAGTGAAAGTGGAGGAAGAAGCCGCGAAATCGTCAACAAATGAGGAACCGGAGAGGCCGATTGAGAATGTGGAAGCGCTGAAGGTAGTTTCAAAGCAATCCAATGGTTTTAGAAATAATGAAGCCATAAATCTGACCCAGCAACGACTAAATGAGCCATCAAAAAAATAATTTTATTCCAAATTTCAGTCCAAGAATCCTCGCGGGACGAAGCGGGCAGCCACGAACAGGAGAAGCTCTTCGAATGGTCCCAGCACTTCGCCCAAGCGTCCAAAAGAGGAACCATGTGAGACTCCGAAGGTTGGTTTTAAGATCTGCAAGGATTTTGTCTTCCGATCAAGCTCAACTCACATCGTTTCAAATAACGTACCTAAAAGCGTATTCATAGGAATGGTAATACATTAATTAAATTCTGATTTACAATTTTTTCGTCTTCTTTCCTGTCTCTAACTTTCTCTCTTTCAGAAGACCTATTCTGAGGAAATTCAGAAAATCATCGCCGACGCAAAGGAAATGTCAAACATGGGAAAGAGAACTTCAGCGAGGAGAAAATCGACTGCCAATAAAACACTAGAATTCTCGTGCTAGACTCATGTGTAAATATTTTTATTTATGATCTCAGGTGAAATGTTGTATTTGTCGGTTTATCACATAAATATGGGATTTTATTTACCGGTAAAAATCGCAAAACAACACTTGGTAAAATCAAAAATAACACAAGTAATGATGCTTATTCGTCGGGAGAATTGCCTTCACCGCCCTCATCGTCGCTCTCCCGGTCAGCCGAATTTTCGTTGAGAATGACGTACTCTCGAGAAGAGAATCCAAATTTAAGCACATCTCTTTCTTTTAGCTCATAATATCTAAAAAAGACAATATTGTTATTAATGAAAAAGTGCTTGACCTTTGAGGATCAACCTTGTCTCCATTCAAGAACGTTCCATTGCCACTTGAGAGATCGATGACGTATGGTCGAACAGCGCGTCCTTTTGTTCCATCAGGCCGAGTAAATGGCACACTCCTAAATAAAATTTCCTCATACAGATATCAAAACGTTGATCCTGTCAACTTCAAAAGCTTTAAAAACTACATTAATACCCAGAAAACACAACGTTTAAGACACTACAAGTTTTTCTCCAGAAGTTTTTCTAAATAGGATCAAATACCTGTATTGTATGACGGCGTGTTGTTTACTGCATGATGGATGATCAACCGCTAAATCAGCTACGACACGATCACGTCCAATCAGGTAAGCCGATTGACGATGAATGTAAAGAGTTGGCAGTGATTCATCTCCTTTGAATGGATAGAGACGCCATCTAAATATTGGTAAAATTAACAAAAGGCATCTTTTTTCATACCTTGTCTTAGGAATTTTTGCTTCTGGTGGCTCGTTGTATTTGATGACGACTCCTCGAAATGTGTTCGTGTCTTCGGCAAGCTTTCCGGAGAGTCCCATATTGACTTTTTGCTAAAATAGGTAAAAAATAGCTAAAATACAAAAAACCCAATTGCCTAGCAATACCTTTTCTTCTGGCGGAATTTCTTCTTCTTTTGGTTTCTCCCAATGTTCTGGTTTACCCCAAATCTCCCTAAATACAATCATTTAAATAAACCTCAAATTAAAACGCACTTTTTCTTTGACGCGTCTCCACTCAATTTTGACTCTAAATTTAAAATTTGAACAATAAAGCAACAACAATAAAGTTTACTTTCATTATTGCCATCATCACGATTCACTTCCTCTTTCACTTGCGGCTTTCGGCTTGATCTAAATGGGTTGAAGTTAAATTGACAAGATTTGCATCCTTACCCATCTCTATCTCTATTGTCATCGCGTCTACGTTCTTCTCTATCGTTGCGGTGGCTTCTAAAATTAAAAAACTTTAAACGCTCTAACTTTAAACTCATTACCTTGACGCTTGCCGCAAAGAGCCTTCCCCACGACGATCAGGGCTACGGGAGCGAGATCGTTGCCTCCTAAATAAAAAATATTGATCGATAACAAACGATTAGATACTTTGGTTATTAAAGGGCCACCTATATTTTTGAGATTTTCACTTTTTCCGGGGTAATCGACCACGCTGAGCACGAATTGCGCATAGCTGGGGAGTAATGACGCATCGGATCACAAGTTTAACTATTCCTATGTTACCCTTATTATCCGCAAAGCACTTCCACTTTCATAAAGTCTAGGAAAATCTAGCAAATGTCGTTTTAATAGGCAACTAACCTCCTGTCCGGACTGCGATTTCGGCGAGATGCTGGTGAGTCGTTCCTCTTACTAAAACAGCAGCTATTATTGTAATGCTCAAAAACTTGCTCAATTGAACAAACTAACCATTAAAACGTTCTAACGTTATCGCTTCTTGAATCTTAAAGTAACTGCTAAAATTAAACCAAAACGTTTGGCTTTGATACTTTTCAAGATATTTTCTTGTTTCGCCCTTCTTCTAGCTTCAAAAACAAAAGATAACAACTCACCGATGTGGTGGGCTTTCTCGTTGTCGCTTAGGTGACGGTGATGAGCGGGGGCTCCTCGGTTCGTCTTTCACTTCTCGGCGCTTCTTCTCATCTCGTCGAGACATTTCTTCGTGCCGACCCATCTAAAAAATCCAAATTAGCGAAGTTTGGTAATAAAATTGGCAGAAACATGACCAAAAACGAGCAAATTAGGCGAATACGATACATCTCTTAAATATATTAGAGCCTTAAAGTGTAAGTAAGACTTACTAAATTCTTAAAACAACAATCAGAGCTGACCAAACATCAGTTTGACAAACGCTAAATAAGGGCGTGGGACAAATGCTACCTTTTTTTTTGCGCACCTGTTTTTCCGCACCTTGCCCATTAGCGCACCTTTTTTCGCGTTTCAAAAAAGCTCTAAAAAGCTAATATTAACCAATTTCTATTCCAAAAGTTGTTTTTTTAGGTAATTTTAGGGCGTAGAATCGAAATTTTGACATAACAGAGCGTGTGGAACCAATTTGAAAGACAAAACGGCTAGATCAAATTACAGAAAATTGTCGATTTTTCTCTTTGTATAACTCCGTCCGTTTGTTTCCACAACCTCTGATATGCCAAAATTTCGATTCTACGCCCTAAAATTACCTAGAAAAACAACTTTTGAAATAGAAATTGGTTAATATTAGCTTTTAGAGCTTTTTTTAAAACGCGAAAAAAGGTGCGCTAATGGGCAAGGTGCGGAAAAAAAGGTCGCATTTGTCCCACTCCCCTAAATAAAAAGTTCACATCAATTTCTTGTTTTATAGCCTTAATTGATGTAAACAAACTTCTGTCTTTAAACGGAATATCTTAAAATAATAAAAGCGAAGGAGATTATGGCTTCTTTTTGAAATTTTCTCGCGACTACGTGACAATACAATTCCTTTTCGTTTTTCTCTTTCCCTGACAATTGGCATCCACTCAACATTGTTGATTCGTAACAATTGCTTTTCTCTCTGTCAGCCGCCTCTCATCTGGCCATGAAATTGCTATTCACATCTAGAGTTTCAAATTTTCAACGACCTTTCTTGTTTAGAAGTGTGTGTTTATGTTGATTACTTGTTTACATAGCTTTTTCAGAATTCTCGACGGCAGATGGAGTCGAGCTGGCCTTTGCGAAATATGGTGACCACGAGAAGAACCGAAAGCATAATCCGTTGTTGATTTGTCACGGTTTGTGCGCTTTTCCCCCTGACTTTTCTATTATTGTTTTTAGGTTTGTTTGGACAGAAAACGAATTGGAACTCGGTTGCGAAAGCTGTGCAAAAAAGGCTCGATAATGTGGTGTATGCTGTTGACTTGAGGTACGTTTTGTGGTGTTTATGTGATGTATCTGAGTATTAGTAATGTTACTGGATGCGGATTTTTAATCCTACCCAGTTTAAACAAAATTCGAAGCGTTAATGGTTAGAATTCAGTAAAATTTCATTAGCCAGCATTCAACTAAGATCTTAATAATAAAAACAAATAGGCATTCAAATAAAACAAACCAAATTTTTACTTACAGAAACCATGGGGATTCGCCACATTGTTCTTCTATGTCATACACCGAACAGGCCACCGATCTTTATCTTCTAATCCAAAAAGTAAGCACATATTTTTTTGCATGCAAACGTTTATATCTATTTTAGATTTGTGCAGAAGGCTCGTTCAAAAAAGCCAACTTGCTTGGACATAGCATGGGAGGAAAAGTAGCAATGCGCTTTGCCATTGGTATAATTGCCAATTAATTAAAGCTGACAGATAGATTTTAGATCCTCATGGTTCTTCCTTGATCGACAAGTTAATAATTGAAGATATCAGCCCAAAAGGATATTCTGTCAGCTCACATACATTCAGGTGTTCTTTTATAATCAATCAATGTATTTCGTTTTTAGATATTATGTGGAAGCGATGCAGAAGGCTGATCTTTCGCTTTCGAGGCAAGAGATATCAAAAGGATTAGAGCATGATGTATGAAACATTTATGTTTATTATAGTAAACGTATATTTTAGATTCCTGAGTTGGCTATTAGGCAGTTTCTTCTAACAAACCTTCGACCTCGTCAAGATGGAACTTTTGAGTGGAAGGTGGATGGTTTTGTCAGTATTTATTACAAAGGATTCTTTTAGATGAATCTTACATCGATCGGGAGACATTTTGAAGACATTTTGGGTTGCTCATTGCCGGTTGGAACTTTTCGAGGACCTACGTTGTTTATCTATGGGGATAAGAGTGGATATGTGCCAGATGAAGATCGACCCTTGATACGAAATTTGTTTCCACAGGTATCCACAGTTTTGAATGTTTTGATCTATTTCGTGTTTATTTTTACAGTGATATATAAAAATTTAGGTTGAATTTTCGTCGGTGAAGAACGCCGGTCACTGGGTGCACTCCGAGCAACCACAAACGTTTATTGATGAAATTTGTCGCTTTATAGAAAAGAAATAATCTTCATTATTGTCTTGTCTTGATTACGGGTAATAGATGTTATTTACAACTGCTTTAGAATAAATCTATTTTTGTGACAATTTTTCTCTTGTTTTGGTTTGCTACCAATACTCTATCTATTGTGCTTTTGTTTGCAAATTTACGTGTCCACTTTTTGCAAAAGAGTAGTCTTTAGGAATGTCGGACAGAAAGCTGCTTTCTGAGCTGAAAGTCTCCGAATTGAAGGTGTGTGATTGCAATAATGTATCGTGTAAAAATGAAGTTCCACCTTTCTAACTACGCTTTATTCAATAATTATTACATTTAGGCGGAACTCGAGAAGCGTGGATTGGACAAAAATGGAATCAAATTAATTCTCACAGATCGATTGGAGCAGGTGAGCCATAAATTGTAGTGAAGCCGCGTAATTACTAGTTAGTGTCCTTGAAAATTGGCACTTGCTAAATTTTGATTTTTGAGAGTTAAAAACCTCACTCCACCTACCCCCGGAATTCGGGTGAAAGCGTATTGTGTGTGATGTAAGAAAGTAGTTTCATCGCCTGGTTGGGGGACCTGAATTAGGTTTAAGTTAAACGTTCTGCAATCAGATGGTCGTATAGCGCATCTTATTTTTTTTTATGAAAGCTTGTCAAAGATATTTTTGAATTTGGAAGAATTGGCTAGTTTGTATTCGTTTACACTCTCATGATTGATAAACATGTGATGTGGGAACATTTAGTTTCTGCCTTATTAGACTACAGTCTAATAAGGCAGAAAGAGTCTACAGTCTGCATTTGATAATTTTTATTGATCAAACCTGTGGTGCAAAGGTCGACGCACCAACCATTCGAAAGCCTTTCAATGCCAAAGTATCAAAAGCTCTAAATTGACTCTAGTCTTTTTTGAACGCGTGAATTTTTCCAGCATTGATTGCCCTATTCAGCGGTATCGTTATTTCAATGCAGTTTGATTGGGGACTAGTTTCTTTGATTTTCCCAAAACAAAGGCTAGTTTTCGCAAAATATTTTAAATTCTGCGAAATTCAAATCTTTTTGGAAATCTAACCCTTTAATAGCTCTTTTCCTCCTTTCTCGCCTCTTTTCCGCGGCACCGGGATCTGCTCTTTGTTTTTTCGCGGACACTTCGATTATTCTTCAGGATGAAGGGCCACTTGGGAATAGGCGTTCTTTCGAACAACTTTTGCGCATTTTATTAAGTGAGCCGATACGATGGGGTTGAATTGCTTATGGAAACGATTAGAAGTACCTCTCGAGTTGTGAGTGCTTGAGAAAGAAACGCGACGTGTATTTGTCATCTGCAGCATCACCATCACGAGCTTCATTTAACTGCTCTTCAAAAACATCCCGACAAATTGCCACTCGTCCACAAACGACAATACGAACAACCTGAATAGTTTAGACTGAGATTTAGAATTTTGATACCTTTCGGAAAGTGACTTCTGGATTTAGTCGCCCAATTGAAAGTGCTGCTTGACAAGATAGGGTAATCGTGTGTGGGCTTGCATCCATCGAGGCCATTTTGTCGAGTCCCAAACGGCGTAGTTCAAATCTCCAAGAAAAAATGCTTTCTTAAGAATTCATAAACGCACCTCAACGTTTGCCAATCATCAAAGTTATCGGGTACAATAAGTCTTGGCTCCGTTCTTCTCAATGCATTCAAAATGAGAAGAATGATGTCTTTGTCGGATTTATCCAAATAATTTGGGTCAACAAGACGTGGTGCCTAAATTCTTTTTCGAAATCTGGCTTTGTTCAGTGGCCATTGACATGATTTTTTCATAGGGTCGGCTCGGGTAAAGGATTGAATTTGAGATTCCTCAAGGACCAAGTAGTAAAACAAATTCAGCGCTATTTTTGACTTTAAATTCAAAAGTTTGATCAGTTATTGTTATAGGTTATGAATATAAAAATACTAAAAGTAATTACAATTATCTCGGGCAAATTAAGGCAAAATGAAGGATTTAAAAAGGAAAAAGTTAAAAAGAATTTTACCTTTGTAATGGTATCCGGTGTGGTTACAAGCTCTCCATTAGCACAATGCAGTTGGATGAGCTGGGCGTTCATCGCGTGTATGCGACCAGATGCGAGGCCCCAGGCCACGCCCCGACCTCCTCCAAAGCGGGAAGAGATTTTTCTCCGCGGCGGTCCCTGCTCCCCAGTGGCCGAAGCCGAAGAGTGCCGGCGCCCAGTGACATAGCTTGCCGATGCTAGAAGAAATGCAAAGAGATCTTCGGGGGTTTTTGGGGAAGTGGGGAAGGAGCGTGTGCCCGAGTTAATACCCTGTCTTATCGTTCTCCTCGATTGAGGCGCTTTCGGCGGCGATGTGGGGCAATTGTCAGAAATACTCCCCATATGACACACGTGACTCGCCGAGCCACCCATCTAATAAAATATATAACTTTTGCTACATAATGAATTTGTTTTTTCTTATATGAGCCAAATGCCCAGCAGAACAAAGGCTTTGTAGAAAAATTTTTCTGAAACAGAATCAGCAAAAATAGGCAATTAGCGTTTTATTTTCTGGTTGCAATGAAGAAAAAAATTTGAAACTATATCTTTCATTGATTTTCTAATACAAATACGAAAAAAGAAAAATTATCAGCTGTGGGAAAACGTTTGTGAGGGCTAATGTATGTGCGTGGGCCGTGGTTGAGTTGTTAGTCTGGCGATCTCACGGAAAATCGAATTCTCTCGCCATAATAATTACCACTCTTTGGAGCCCACAGCGGCCGGTGTTAAACGAATACAAATTGGCATCGGCGGGAAAATTAGATGAAAGAATTTTTTTTTTGTGAAATGAAGTTGTTGTATAATTGTTTTTTAGGCCATCCGTGGTGAGGGCTCTGATCCAATGACGTATCATTTTGAGCTGAATGCAAAAGGAGAAGAAGGTGAATAAATTTATAAAAAATGTTCACTGAAGAATTTAGGTGAACTAGACACCTCAACCATGTCAACAGATGCTGCAAATTGGCAAAAAGAAGAACAGGTATTATTTTAAAGGCTTTGTTAGTTAAGCCTTTTTTAATTTAGGTCACTACAAAACCTACTGAAGGACCCATTTCAAGTGAAAATTCTGAACAAAATAAACCCGTAAGTTTTAGCTGAGTTGCACCCAACAAATGTTATTTAGGTTGAGACGGAAGAGAAAATGGTTACATTGGCTGAGACTTTGAACGAAGAAATTTTCGATTCTGTTGATCAAGAAGTATCAAAGGGAGACGAGTTTTTGATTCCAGAAAACGAGCATTTGGAAATGGATCAATCGACGGTGAGAAAAATTTAGACGCTGTTAATCTAAAGTTTTATGTTTAGGAAGAAATCCCGGAATTGAATGATGCTGTCAGCAAAGAAAACACGAACATTGATGAGGAGTTGAAAGAAGGCATAAGTGATGACAAGATGTCGATGAATCAAACTGTGAAGTCGATTTCCGACGGAGAAAAGCATCTAAACGAAGAAAAATCTTCTGCAACTGAAACGAACAAAGAAAAAGCGACGAAGCAAAAGATGCGGACGAAAGTGCTGCCCGATCGTTTTGGGTTCGCAATCTGCCGGGAGGAACAAAAGCCGCAGAACTGAAAGTAACGATTTCGATGATGCTTTTAAACTGCCGACATCATAACCAAATTCGTAAATGCTGGGCACCGTTACGCTAAATTTGTTGATGTTGATGATGAATTCCTTTTGAGAAGTTTTAAAAGACCTTTAAGCGAATTAAGTCAAATTGAACCAAAAATGGATCAGACGGGTTTTTTTCAACTAATCTTGTTCTTCAGGCTCTATTTTCTACAATCGGAAAGGTCGAGCGCGCAAAAATATTCACTTCAAAGAAGGTCGTCAACAACGCGAACGCTTTTGGATTCGTGACAATGACTGAGAAGAACGACCTTGAATTGGCGATTGAGACACTGAATCGAAAGGAATTCAAGGGTCGCGTTCTCACTCTCGAAAGGGTACGCTCTTCTTTCTTTTCACCAAGCAGCCGATCGGAAACCGACTAACTTTTTTGTTTATATGCATACTTAAGGATTTTCCTATTTGATTTTGAAAATCTGGTAATTTTTTAATCTTAGGCGGATAAAAGTCGACTTCCAACGGCGAAGGCAAATGCTCCAACTTCGACGTCGATCTCACCGAGCACCGACCCCAAGGGAAAGAAGAGGGCTGGAGATGAGAAACGCCAAATTGTGTCAAGCAACCCAGAGGCGAATAAGTCTCGAGAGAGGACTACAAGGGAGAAACATGAGATCAGAGGAAATGGGTCACGTCATAAAGAACCTGAGCGACGACGAACTGAAATCCGAAGCTTGCCACATCGCCCAAGAGTTTTTGCTGATCGGGATCGCGCTTTCAATGATCGACGCCGCCATGTTGCACCAGCCACAAATTCTCGGGGTCGGTTCTTTGGTAAATGCTCAGCTTCTTCATGTGTTATCCTACTGAATCCTACAACATGGCAACCATAAACCTTGGAAAGAAGAAAGAAAAAAATTACCGGCTTTTCTCACTAAGCCTTTCTCAGCATTAGTTGTTTTTGGATGCGGCTTTTTTAAAATGTTTTACTTTTAAAATTCTAAGTTAGGAGGGACCTAGGTAACCTTTCTGACTTTAGATCGTCCACTATTGCGAGGTTATGCACCACAAGGCCATCGAGGCAATCGACCGACTCGAGGATTCCGAGGAGGTTTTGGTCGCGCCGTTTCTTCACGTGCGATTTCGCAACGAGTGTCATATCCTGAGAGAGAATCGGCTAATACTTCATCAAGGGTTTGTTTTTCTATCAGAGTTTGAGTCAGACAGATAGTTTTAAGCAATTAATTTTAGCTGCTAACAAGGTTTACGTTTTTAAATGTGGAATAGAGAAAAATAGAGAAAAGATGTGGAAAGTAAACATTAAATCGACGTTAATTTTAGTTCGGCTCTCGTCAATCATCATCGAGTTTGCGAGCGAATGATGGCATTTCGTCTCGACAACTAGAGGAATTGCTTCGTCTCAAAGAGCAAGAAAGTGAACGGAAAGTACGCGAGATGCAGCTCACAATGGAGCGGGAACGGATTCGCTACGAGAAGGAGAAACTCGAAAGAAAGCGTCTTCAGCTGCAATTAATGGCATCACAAACTGGCAGTAGCTACGGTGGAGGCATTGCGCCATCAGAATCTTCAAGGTATAATTTCCAAAGCCATCAAAATATTGTTAATGATCAGAAATTAAAAATGCCTCAATTAATTAACGTTTTTAGTTCTAGATCATCGCGAGATCACCGCGGAACTGTTTCCAGGATTTCAAAAGATCGACATTCAGCAGGAGGGTTAGTGAATGGATGTAATTAAAAATTTATTTTGTTTGTAGAAACTCTCGCGATTCGGGACGCCATTCTACTCGCAATGACTCTCATAGTCGAGAATCTTCACGTCATCACGTCTCTTCTCGACATGAACGCGCGGAACCAAGGTAGTTTTTAGATAAAAAGTAATTAAAGAATATGATTTATATTGTGCAAATTAAAAGTTGAAAGGACTGCATCACGAGTTATTACTTTCGTTTACGCTTTTTTTGTTTAGATCGCGCCCTGAAACATCGCGTGATCGTCGCGATTCCCATCATTCTGATCGACGCGATGCACCAAGTTTGTTTCTCTGAACGCTAAGAAATTCAAATTTCAATTTTAGGGTATGGGAGCACTTCTTATACACACTCTTCTGGCGGTGGACGCGTTTATGAATCCTCTCAAGGATCTTCTCGCGATTATCATGGAGCTGGTGTTTCGAGCACGGGTTACTCAACAGCAACGTTGCCAGCCATCAGTGGTTATCGTAAGCATCTCAAAATGTCATAAAGTTTTGTTGTTTTAGCTGCCCGTAACATCTCTCTTCCAACCTTTGATACATCTGGATTTACTGCCGGGGCGACCAGGTGAAATGCTTCTGTCGGTTAAAAGTAAAAATATGGATTACTGATTGGGATACTATAAAAAATGATAAAGAATCTATTGTCATTGTCGACAATTTATTCATTTTAGTGGTTTTGCTTGGCCCACGCTTTCCAATCCAACGATTCAATCGCGAACAACTTTCAAGAACTCTGGTGAGTGGCTTTTCAGAATTTCCAGTGTTCAGTTAATTTAGATTACACATTTGCTGGCTCATCGGACTTGTCTGGAGGACGTCATTACGATTACACCCGCCGTTATTGAAAATCATTTGATGATTTCAATTTTGCGTGATTTGTGTAAAAGACTTGTCCTATTCGCTGCAGATCTCTTTCAACTAGCAATGCAGTCGGCTCCGTTTCAGTAATATGTTTGTTTTTAAATGTCCGTAATGTTTAAATTATTGCAAATGTATGTCATTTTATCTGATTTTATTAAATATTTTGGTTTAAATCGCAAATAATCAACGCACAGTAAAGGAAAACAATAAAACAAAAAGTCTAGACAAAGAAAGAGATAAATATAAAGATCTTTAAGAAGAGTTCAGTCAAAATACAAATAGATCATACCATTCACAACATAACAACAATTGAAATCAATACATACCCGGTTCACCCTTAAGAAGAGGATTGTGTACGGAACCTGAGGTCCCCACTGATCCCATATTGCCAACTGAGGGGATTTGCCCCACAGAACCAATGTTATCCACCGAACCCGGGCCCATCATCGAATTGGGCATTGGTACAGAGCTTGGCATTCCTAGAAAAATAGTAGTTTATAATTGTGACTATACTGGTGTCCCAAAAAAAGCCAGTTCAGCGCGATTTTTCTCAGAATTTCTAGTGGTTGGTGTGGTGCCAAAGCGAATATTTATTGATTAGCAGCTCACGAGTAGAACATGGCTGCCTCTTTGAACATTGCGAGTTAAAAGAGTTCTATATACAAGAGATTACTGGATTTTCTAAAACGATAAAGTATTGGGTCATAAATCTTAGTTTACATGTTATCTCTAATCTGACACCATGATGCCACTAGAAAGTTTCAATTACAGCAAAAATCTCATAGTGATGGCCCATACGGTGGTGGTAACCATGGTGGCTCAGAAATTTCATGTATTGGTTATTGGTGGTCATGAGATCGGGACAAAGGAAAAAAATATCAAAACCCGTCCAAAATATTCACGTCGGCACCACAACAACCACCACTAGCAACCACCACCAGCCACTAGAAATTCTGAGAAAAATCGCGCTAAAGTTACTTTTTTTGGAACACCGTGTACGTGTATAATGTAGCTCTTTCATGTAATCTTTTGCTTATCACATATTACATTTTGATTTCACTTTGCCAACAACTTACTGTTCAGCTCGGGTCTTTGAAGTAGCTGCGAAACGACCTCCCAAAGCGGGCACTCGTTGCTCTGCCTGGCCATCTCGTTTGCCGCCGCAAATATATTTGTTAGAATCTAATTTTGTGAAACTTTTTTGAACAACTATGCTTTCCTCACCTCTTTCTCGTCGGACATCCCTTGATTAACTTGTTCGACTTGATTTCTAAACGCAAAAATGGATAAATTGCTCGATATAAACAAACGTTTGGACATTGTATTGTAACCACATCATATGTCTTCGCATTTTGTCCGATTCATCGGGTGAAAGTGGGCAAAAATTCACCTAAAGGCTCACAGTGGCCTAGCTAAATGTTTTGCAGATAAACTCACATGAATTCTCATAGTCTGATTTCGATCCAACAACACTCCGGGGCGGAACTTTCGAGCACTCATCGTTGACTGGGACCCGTGAGCGCCACCACTTTGGTCGGGTTTCCGTTGAAGCATTGTCGGCATAATAGACATGTTCCAATAGATGTTGGTCAAAGGATCCTAAAATAAATTTTATGTAAGCAAAATCACTTCATTTAGGTAGTTAAGATCACTGACAGAAACTAAATTACTAATTGGGCTCCCAAAAGCCTTAATGCTTTATCAAATTTATTCACTAAGGGATTCTCTTACGATGCTTTCTTGAGAATTTAAGTTAATACCTCATCATATCCATACAACTGCCCTCTCATAATCTTTATGATTGAGAAAAGCGCTCCATTCGGTGTCATTCGGCACAAATTTATAAAAGCCACCAAAGCGTATTCGTTGTTAAACCTGAAACAAAAGATCAAACGCATTTTATAGAAAAGTTACCTGGAGATGTAATAGTCAAAATACGACTCGATGATAGAAATTTGCTCAGCTTTTGGTCCACTGTCGCCCAAGCCATCTATAAAATTGAAATTATAAAAACCAAGATCAAATTTACCATATTCAACGGAGCATTTAACTGTAAACGTGTTCGGACAAACAAAGAATTGGAAATTGACAATGCATGGGTAGTTCTGTCCATATGCACTTTGCGTTCTGATCGACAAGACGGAGGCTCGTATCTGAAATGAAAGGTTCATTTACATTGAAAAAGGCATAGTCGTCAGTTAGCATCTATCATCTATCTTCTTATAAAAATTTTAACATTATATCCACCCACCGAATCCGGCTGCACGTCAAGCTTTTCAAAGTGAACCGGTTGTTGTGGTAAGGGTAGAGAGTAGATCTAAAAAGATGTTGAACGAGGAAAGAACAACAACATAAACCTCTTTGAAAGCGGCACCCGTTCGATACACGAATTCAATGGCCGATAGATAGGAGTCCAAAGGAGACAAGTTGTTGGCAACTAAAAAAAAGCAATATAATCTTCCGTTTATGTGTAATCTAAACTAGACGAATGCAATCTACTGCCCAGAATAATTTAGCCATGATTAACAATGATAAGCGTCAAACAATTTCAACTCACATTCAGCGTTATTTTCTTTGGTTGGCACGAGTGGTCGTCGCAGAGCACTTTCGGGTGGTTGACAAGCCTTGTGCAACGTGACATGATCGACGAGAATGATATTTGGAGTAAGAGTAAGGCCCGATCCCGAAGTGGTGAATGAGGTGCCTTGCGAATGTGGAGATTGGTTGGTTGAGGATGGAGGCACGGATAATGATTGAGTGGATGAAGGAGGCGGTGAAGCGGCGGCTACGTGCTAAATTTAAAAGATTAGAAGTAGTTGAAGATAAGAGAATTATTGATGTTCAAGCGTAGCAGACTAGATTTAGACTTGACAAAGTTCTTATATTTAGATTCGTTTCTTTTTTCCCTAAAATCTTACTTGTGATGGCAGACTGGTTGGTGCATGTGGAGACGCATGAGAAACATTCGAATTCGTACACAATTGAGCGCTTCCCCTAAAAAGTATTTTATTTAATTGATTCAAAATGTTTTTGTTTTAGATGCAAAAGATTTTCATCGTGAAAAACTTGCCCAGATATCCACTTCCAAAATTGCTCTAACCCCACAACGGCCGGTTGGAATCGTGAACAATCTCTGATTCCGACCTGATCAGCTTTTTTTTAAAACAAATAGGCTTAAAACAATCCACCTGTGAATCCTGCAAAAATCGAAACTCAAGGAAAATATGGCCATATTGAAGTCGCATCGTATAATCATCAATCGCGAACAGGTAATACTAAAAAGCCACAGGTTAAACTCCACAAAAAGAATCCTTGCCTTCATCTCGAGTGGGAACGCCATATCATGATTGAGTATTTGCGCGAGAGCCTAAAATTTTCGCATATATATAATAGAAAGCAAGATTTGACCTTGACAGATTGGAATCGTATTCTCAAAAATTTCGACAAAGCGCATAGTGGAGCCGAGGTTGAGACGACATACTCAACCAGTTCGACGAGATCCGGATTTGCGTTAAACCTGAAACGGCAAATTTTAGTAGACTGGCTAAACTGAAAGTCAACGTAAGCAATTGGACAGTTAAACGCAAAAAAAGTACTTTTCATTAATTATGGGACTTAGTTGCGTATGGGGATTCCAGCGTCCCTCTTCTGGCCATTGAAAATCGTCTTCCGTATACGCATCAGTGGGCACCGTTTGGTTGAAAGTGATGCAGAATCGTTTTGGCTCACTGCTCTAAACCAAAGCAATACAATACGCCTAATTACATGTATACTTGAAACATACTTTAAGATTTGGCCTGAACGAAATGACCATCAATTGATCTCTTTTCTCTCCATATGCGATGATGAGTTTGTGGTAGGTATACGCTTGAATCTAAACAAATTAATTTAAAAACTTACAAAATGAAAACCCAAACCGAGCAAACGTTTTTGTAGACTTTCTTGTAAACGGGAGCAAATTCGTGAACAAGTTTGTAAATGTTCACGAAGATTTGTAAACGCTCCACAATAGCCGTCGATACTAAAAGAGGATAAAGTTGAAATAATTTTTAACTGGTTAAAACTGCTAAAAATAGAGTAAAGTTTGTGTAGCCACTAATATCTATATTGAATGTTCAGAAAGCTGATCGCAGCTTAGAATTCTTGGAATAAACTTTGTAACAAATCTCATCGAAACTTACACGAGTCGCTGGGGTTTATTCCGGGTGGTCCGCTTGAGCTGCTCAAGCTCACATCAAGCACACAAGCACGCGTCTAAATTGAGTGTTTTTAACGTGAAATAACTTATCGTCACTTTTCTATTCAACTAAAGATCTATTTCTTAGCTACATTTGGTCCCGGTTTCCCGGGCAAGCAATCCAATGGTAGGGGGTTGTTCTTGATGCAACACTCGAACGGCCATCCAATCCTCGTTCGAGAATCCAATCGTAAGCAGCAACGCACCTAAATTTGTGGTTGTTCAAAAATTGCCCCAATCCAACAAACCAAGTTATCGAAAAATTCAGGTGCCTCAGTGTCCACTGCGGCTTGCACACTAAATTACAGAATTACATTTGTAGAACATTTTAAACTCACTTCTTTAACCGCAAAACGAGTCCACCAACAACAGGCTCGGTTTCCAATGGATCGTACTGGATATTGCGTCGATCAAGCTCCTCACATAACTAAATAAAAGCTAAAATAGAAAAAACAAAGTCTATCTTACTTTCATGAACGATATTCTATCATCAACAGCTGCAATTGCACACGTCAATCGTCGGCCATAATGATCACCCTTTCGTAATTCCTAAAAAACGGCTTTATTAATTTGCTCAGTTAAATTTCTTAAGTTCATTCTTACTTCATCTTTGTTTGCGTATAAGAAACGAGTCATCGGTGCCACCAATCCTGGATGATCCTAAACAAGAAATTTTTAAGCAAAAACCATCAATCACTTACTCGACTTAAATGTAGCAGTGTCAATTGATCGTCATTTACACTCAACAAGTGCAGCTCCGTCTTCACAATCAATTGAGGATCAACAACAAAAGAGACAATCTAAAATTAATGTTCTTTAGAAAAAATTCAATCAATAAATCTAAAAACTGACCAAGTAAAAGCTATCATCTTTGTAGAATTGTAAAATGAGGCGATCCGCCGGTAAAGAAGTAATCTAAAAAGATTCGAATTTATTGAGGGACAATAGTAATAAAGGTAAGCTGTTAAACCCAATCAACTCGAAGTTTACTTACCTTGCTCAATTTTGAAGCCATTTGTGTTTCGGAGACGATTCTCACAAGAAGCGATGAGACGGCCTTTCGATAACGTTCAATCATCGTTAATACCCTAAAACAAATGTTGAATTTATTTGTTTGCTAGGATTCTAAATTTGATTGATGCTCATAGTCTATTTTGTAGCTTACTTCAGTCTATCAATGTGTTTTTTGATCGATTGGATTGGAGAGATCGGGTCAAGGCATTTCTCCAAATTTCGAAGCTCTTGAACTTCTCCTGGAAATGTATACTCTGTTGAAAATTTAAATAATAAATTCCAATTTGTAAAGCAAATTTCTTACCTAGACCATCGACGACACAAATCACTCGACCGCTGAACAAATTGACGGAGATTTTTAGCATTTCTTCTGGCGTTGATTTGTCCAAGAGTCGATAGATCAGCAGTGGAATTTCTTGTCCGGAAACTAGCACAGACGCAGCTAAATTATAGCTTAGCTTTAAAAACGATCGTTCCACATACAAGTACTCGACTCTTCCAATTTTTGGCGAATCTTGAGAAGGCGTTGTCGAGACCGAAAAGCGAACACATCCGATAGGAGACTGTGAATGGAGAGGCGGCTAAACAACAAATATATTTTATCTATATAAGCATCCATAATAGTAGAACTAATAATACAATTGAGCTCGTGTTGTATTAGGGTTATGGCTTATAAAACGAACCCCGATCGTTCATCGAGTCCACCAAGTTCCTGATTTGGCGGATAGTGCCGCACCCTCAACGAGGACCTCGAGTCCTCCCGATCGCAAGAAATTTGAAAGCGAAATTGGGCGTTGTATCTAAAATTAAAGATTTTAGATACAGCGCTCAATTTCGCTCAAATTAAAAAGTTTGGTTATTTCTACCTCGGGATTTGTCCCCTCTTTGTCGGCAACTTTTGAGCCCAATATCCAACTGTGAGTATCCGTTCTTTCTGATCGTAGCGCTCAATAAGGATTTTGTCTCTAAACAAAGCGCCTAGCTTTATCGTTCAAGTTTAAAAATACCTCAGTTTTCCATTTGCCAATTGTGTAGATTGACAGAAGAGCACATCGAGTTTGAGTGATTGCGCGAAAGAGTGCAAAAACGTGTACACCTCGTTCAAGGGCTAAAGTTGGATTATGCAAAGATTCTCTTTTAAAATTCATACATTTTTGCTGATATCCATTCTTGATTGAAGTACATTGTGAACAAGATTTAATTGAAGTGGATGAACAAGCTGAGTGCCTAAAACATTGTGTGTAAGAAGTTGAGGAAAATTCAATTGAAAAACTGACCATATCCAATTTCATAGTCTTCGACAAGAATTTTGATGTTGAGAAGTGTCCAGGGAAGGGTCTCTGCTTCACCGAGTACCGTCATTTTCACCTCGAATTCGCTCGGCACCACCAAAGTGAGCTATAAATTGAATTTATAGGTCACTATTTTGCTTTTTTATATTTATATTTGCTTTTTTATAGGTCACTATTTATATTTACTTGTTTCACTAAAACTAACCATTCCGTTTTTGATGTGTATTTGACGAAATTTCGGAGGCAATTTCGAAGCAACCCTCGATATTCTGTATCGGAGAATTTTGTTGATCCTCGAGAGGGCATTCGCTTGTTCTTTTGGCGTGATTTTCGGTTCGCGGATGAAACGCTGCTTTATGCAAAGTGGAAGCCGAGGATAGGTGCCCTGTAAATTAAAAATAAATACCTAATGAATGTTTTTGAAAGGCTAAATTTACCTGTGTGAGAATATCGACTGCAGAACACACTTGAAAAGTCGGCAATTTAGCTACTTCCAATTCTTGTCTAAACAAATAAGATTATCCTGATTAAAGCTTTTAAACCCTACCGTGAAAAGAAAACGAGTCGATCAGCGGTGTCGATAAAATATTGAGCTTGTTGATCGAGGATGTAGTTGATAATCTAAAAAGCAAGTATCAACCATTGTAAAACACCAAAAATTCCGGTTTTCTTCTTTTAAGACCACTCACCGAACAATTCTCGAACTTTTTACTCGACTTCACCCATTTCACAATTGCCAACAATTTCACGGTGAGCGTTCGCGTGTTGTGCGCAAATTGTACGAGCGAGATCTTCTTCTCCTCCTCGTATTTCTTTAGCAACCTAAATTAAAGACTTAGTATTATTTTATTTCAAATGGCAAAGCTTTTTGGCAAAGCAAATGGCAAGGCACGTTCACCCCAGAAACATTTTAAGTTGCTAATTTATCCAATAAAAATGTGCAATTACTTGCTTCGACTACGTGATTTCGAGAGTTTAAACTATTATTTCAAACTGAAAAGCCATAAAACTTCAATTTTTGTGATACCGTCTGTTTCGATACAAAGGATATCGAAAAACTCAACAAACTCACAATTCGCTCATCACCGTGATCTCGTGAAAAATTTGTTGCACGGCAAAGTCGAGCAACATCTAAAACTACGTTTTTAACATGGTTTCTATCAAAAACTCACGTTTAAGCTTTAAAATCTCTTGCTTTTCATATAATCAGCTTTCAATTGTAACCAACCGATAACGGAATCGATGGCGGACCACATTTCTCGGGGATCGGCTGAATCTGTTTGTTGTAGTCGTCATCGTCAGCCGGTTGTTCCATACAGATCCACTAAAAATCACATTTATTTCAATCGAGTGCATATCAAAACAAGTCGAAATAAATAGAAAATTGTCGAAGTTGAAAAATCACACAAACGAATAGAATTTTGTGCGATTTGTTGTGTTTTGGACTAATTTTATTCCCAATTTTGTGATTTTTCAACTTCGACAGACTTATCAATCAAAACTATCAAGGAAAAAGGATAAATTTGGTCGATAACTAATGGCAAAACACGCAAATATCAAGATATTAAGCAAAATACGCAAACATCAAGAATATTAAGCTAAATAAGGGAATATCTCAAAAAAGGTGTTAATTTTCTATATAGTTAGCTGCTTTCAACAACTAGAAAGCTGTTATTTGGGGAGTGGGACAAATGCGACCTTTTTTTGCGCACCCGGACATTTGCGCACCTTTTTTTGCTGGAAAAGGCTTTAGGAAAGGTCGTAGAGCTTCAAAAATGTTTTCATAGAAGGGAATCGTATGCGTAGATTCCGAATTTCGACAAATCAGACCTCGCTGACACGTCAAATTTGGGCTAAAAGGCAAAAACTGCGGAAACGCGTTAAGTTGCGTAGTTTTTGCCTTTTAGCCCAAATTTGACGTGTCAGCGAGGTCTGATTTGACGATTCCCTTCTATGAAAACATTTTTGAAGCTCTACGACCTTTCCTAAGGCCTTTTCCAGCAAAAAAGGTAGCATTTGTCCCACCCCCCTTATTTGAAACTTTTGCGTGTTCTACCTTTTTCCAACAAAATTAAAAAGCCAGGCTCTTTTAAAGAGCCAAAAAACCATTATAAAAAGGAATGAATGAGTGAATAGAAAAAGCAATAAACATCAATTTTTTCAAAAGCACCTGAAAAATTAAAGGCAAAAAGAAGAGGAGCAAGTGAAATCGGAGCTCGAGAAATACCTGATTTGATTGTTAAAGTGAAAAATCGTCAATCAATTTTAAAAGTGATTTTTAAAAAGAGAAAGTTCATCACATCAAAAAAAATAAGCAGCTTTTAGGTTTTTTTTTGAAAATGATCTTGATTTTTGGATTTTTTTCTTGAGTTTTACTATGTCAATGGTTTAGAATCGTCTATTTTTCACCAGACTTATAATAACCGCGTAGTTCCTTAAATATGGCTATGATATGGCTCTCGGATATGGCTTCGAAATTGTTTATGATTTTAGAAGGCTTTATTGAAGCGACATTGAACTTTACCCAAATATCTTAAATATGGTTCAATATGGTTCCAATATGGTTTACACGAGCATATTGCCCAGTTTAGCTTGAATTTAGCTTGCTTTATACGATTACAGCCCAAGAATACAGTTCAACAACTCATAACTCATACACCTATGATATTCGTGACATGCTTTAAAGCCGTAAAAACTTCAATAGAACGACCTCCTATAGGAGCGTCGCGTAGTCTAAGTTTGCTCCCAAACAAATGCTCAATCTCAACAAAACACTGTTTCTGCGCGAGATCTCGAGAGCTGGTCAAAACAGCGCCAGCCAAAATAATGCGTTTGCGGTTAAGTTTATTTGTGCTTCTTATTTTCATTAGATTTAGAAAAAAATTAGCTATCTGCTGAACCTTTTGGGACCGTTTAGAACAAATCTAGGATGAGAAAATGTCAAAAAAAACGAAAAAGGGCTCAAAAAGAGGTTAACTGAGCTTTCCTCGACACCAATTATGTTTTAAGTGATCCGAAAGTATGCAAAATGTAGAGAATTGTATTCTGCATTTAATAAGCATAAGAAACACATAGAGACTTAACAGCGGAAGGGCTATTTTTGCCGGGGCGCTGTTTGTACACGGCGCTGCTTTGATCAGCTACCCATATTTCGACACCAGTTTCGTTTTTTTCTGCGCGCTTAGGTATCAAATTAAAGTAGAGAAAATGGGTGATTTTTTGAGATATAACACATATTTTTAGCATTAACCAGCGCTTAGAAAAAAATGATGAAAAATCGACTCTTTTTTTGCCACTTTTCAATCATTTTTTTCTAAACGCTGGTTAATGCTAAAAATATGTGTTATATCTCAAAAAAACCACCCATTCTCTCTACTTTAATTAGATATCTAAGTGCGTAGAAACAGACGTACTGGTGTCGAGATATGAGCGTTTGTTTGAGAGTAAACTTTGACTTTGACTACGTAAGGCCCCTACCTCTATAGGAGCGTCGCGTAGTCAAAGACCGTTCTATTAGAGTTTTTATGGTAGCCAAGAAACCCTGTTAGAGTAAACTTCGACTTTTTCATTTGACTTTTTGGCTGATCTGTTTTTCACGAGTAACGTGTTTTCTAAAAGATGGGTTGTTTTGAACCTTGTAGTCAGATTTTAGCCGTTCTGTTGTCCTGTTTGTTTTTAATCCCATTCAACAGCTAGCTGATTCTTCATCGAATGAGTTTATGATCAAGTAAAAGGGATAATACCATGCAAAGTTACAATAGTTTAAAAAAAATTGACATGCTTTAGAAAACACATTACTCGAGAAATCCTCTAGTGTAAGTTAGCTACCCAACTCCCTACCCAACTCCCAAAGTTAGCTACCCAACTTCAAAATCATTTCCAAAAACCATTATTGATGCATAAAGTTGTGCAACTAGAAATCACCGATGTTTTAAATAGGCTAAAGTAGACATGGGCACTACAAACGTAAACTAAAAACGCTTTTAACTTGCTTCTAACTTGCTTCTAGCTTGCTTCAAATTTGTGTGTCCATGTCTAGTCTAAAATTTCACCAGTTTCGATCTTGCATCAATCTTTCCATCAACCTACTCCCATCGAACATAGGTATGAGGAAAGGTGCCTCTTTTCCCATCAACAATTCCCTCATAGAATCCATTTCCAATCTTTCGAAGCACCTCCACTTGTTGTCCTTTCTGTAATCGTAAAGCAGCTGTATCGTAGACGTTTGGCGTTCGATCGTGTACAACAAAAGCCTGTGCTGGGAGTCTCGGCTCAGCACTTTGCTCGTGGTCGTGTGTACTAGCAGTTGAATGCCTGCTTGGCCCAGAGCTACTACTTGATGACCATTCTCCTCGACTGTTTCTATCAACTTCCCCTAATGGTGCCACATAATTCGCCGGGATTAGTCCTGTCCTTTGCATTGCGTTCCTCGCTTGCCACCACTCAGGCTCCGGCTTTCCAATAATATCTAATTGTTCTCCTGCTTCAAACGAAAGATCAGTCTCCTTTGTTCCCTCGAAACGGAACAATGCCTGAACTCTTTCCAATTCCCGTTTCCTATACGGAATCGTCAACGAGGTTTTATCCAAAATGCGTAACTTGAAATGATTCAATAGTTGGGGCAAGTCAATGAATGTTTGTTCAGCGATTTTCACGCCTCCGCTCTCATTCTTCTCGATCAAGTAGTGTCGTACTTTCATCGCCTCATCCGATTCACGAACACTCAATGAGAAAGTGCCAGGACGAGAGCTGTCTCTCAACAGAAATGTTCCTAGTTGTACATCATTTTCCGAGAGGATTTGAACGGCTTCTTCGCGGCTCATTTTTGGGAAGTAGAAAGCGTTCCATTCAAATGGATCAAAAGCGCCCCCACTCGGGCCCGCCATTGTGATTGATCTAAAAATTGATATTGATTTAAGATATCATTGAATTTACAGCTAAATTAAACTTTTCAGAGCCAAAATACATTCAAAACCAGTCAAAAAAGAAAGAAAGAAAGAAAGAAGAAAGAAAGAAAGAAAGAAAGAAAGAAGAAAGAAAGAAGAAAGAAAACAGAAGAAAACATAAAAGCATTTTGAGAACTATTGGGTTGGGGACTATGACTCAGCGGCAAACTTTAAAGACACTTTTTGCACGCATAAAGCCTTCTTTAAATATACGTTTTCTTACATCAAAAGGATCCACTATTTCTCTACAAAATGACTTTTGAGAGATTCCACAAAGCTTTTCTTTCGTGGAGTTTATGAACTTTCAAACGCAGCTGATCAAAATGGCAAAGAGTCCGACTCATCGTTTGAACAGTTTCTTCCACATAAACCTTCTTTGGTGTCTATGTAAAAAAGATAGAGCACATTCAATTACATAAGTTGCCAAATTTGCAGGAAGATCCCTCCAACCGTTTTTTCTAGATGACACTTTGTAGTTTTTGTGAAAAAATGGCCTTTTCTTGAGCTGAGGCGCTGTTTGAGTTTTCTTTTAAATGTCATTTTGTAGAGAATTAGCTAACTTTTCTACTGATATCAAACGCGTATTATTTGACGAAGTCTGCTAGAAGTTTTAGAAATTTTTTTGATTTTCGGCGCCGAGTCATAGTCCCCAACCCAATAGAAAAGAAAGCAGATCTAACAATTATGCACTTCTTATCACGAGAAAATTTGGGCATAGGTTTTAAAGTTTAACTGAATTTCGAATTTGGTTATGAATAGAAATCTTTCTGGTTATCAGATGATATTAACACTGCAAGAAGGCATAACGCTCCCCTACATTCAAAACCAGTCAAAAAGAAAGAGATAGGTGTCTGTGTAGCGCATTGGTAGAACGTTCACCCGGTAAGCGAGAGGTCGTGGGTTCGAATCTCCGCGACGGTCATATTTTATATTCCCAGCCCAAACCCATAAAAGCACCGGTGTACATATAAAAGAACTTAGATACTAGATTAGTTAATTCCTTTAGTACGATTCTATAGATATCAAGATCTTGATTTACAATTGAATTTCAGATTTACATTTGAATTTCTAAATTAACAGATCTAAAGAATTCTTAATTTACCATTCAAAATCAAATTCTAACAACACGTTCATTTACAGCTGGTGTTTTTCGAGTTTACCTCGGAAAACTCCTTGAAAAACTCACTGTATCTGACCATCTGTATCTAACATTACAGAGCTGTATCCTAGCATAACCTGTCTTCGGCTAGTACCTTTAACGAGTCATAGTCTTAACAACAGAAATATGAGAGGAGCTTAAACGATGGGACATAAGGAGAACGAAAAGCTGAAGTACTGAAGACTTGGCTAGCAATAGGGCTACATTAGAGTACAGACTAGAGATGGGTTTCAGTTCGATTTCATCCGAACCTGGAACCGGAAAAAACAAGACTGAACTAAACTGAACTAAGTAGGGAGAGGCATGAACTGACTCTAGTACTAGACATGGGTTTTACAAGGCAGAGGAATGAACTCATCATGGTCTTTCAAAACAAGACCATCTTTTAGAGAATTTCACGGGAAATCCGATGTTTTAGTTTAGTTTTTACCCTCGAGACCTGTAAGGCAGAATATTTGGCAAAAGCACTTTTGGCATGTATATTTGAGGCCTAAAAAAATCCCTAAATAAACAAAAAGCAAAAGATTTAGCCGCAAAAGGAAATTTTTGCACTTTTCATTGCATTTTTCATTGCAAAGGCTTAAAAGACTGAAGCAAGCTGACAAAAATCAGGCTTTTACATGGACAAGATGATTAAAAACGATTCAAAATAAGGCAGACAATCAAAATATGAAGAATAATGAAGAATAATGAAGAATAATGAAGAATAATGAAGAATAATGAAGAATAATGAAGAATAATGAAGAATAATCAACAATAATCAACAATAATCAACAATAATCAACAATAATCAACAATAATCAACAATAATCAACAATATCAAGAATATCATGAATCTAAATCATGCAAAATACAATTGCTAAACAAAAACCCAACTCTTATTTCAAATATGCCGACGGCAAGACGGGTTTTTTCTCTCGATCTCTAAAAGATGAATGCACAATTCGTAGACACAAACTACCGTACTCGTTTCCCTTTTCCTTTCCTTTCCTTTTCCTTTTCCTTTTCAACGGCTCATCGGCTCCAATTTTTCCTTTCCTCGCGTAAACATTGAATCACTGAATCATTGAATATAACAATTGTCAACAGGAAAACGATGAGCAATGATTTCTACATCAAAAATGCTTTCAATTTATGTTGATGATTTGGATTCGATCAAGCAACAAGTCTGTGAGATTTAAATAAGCTAATAAGCTAAATAAGCTAATAAGCTAAATAAGCTAATAAGCTAAATAAGCTAATAAGCTAAATAAGCTAAATAAGCGGGGGTGGGACAAATGCGACCTTTTTTTTTGCGCACCTGGACATTTGCGCACCTTTTTTTTTTGCTGGAAAAGGCCTTAGGAAAGGTCGTAGAGCTTCAAAAATTTTTCCATATAAGGGAATCGTATGCGTAGATTCCGAATTTCGACAAATCAGACCTCGCTGAGACGTCAAATTTGGGCTAAAAGGCAAAAACTGCGGAAAAGCGTTAAGTTGCGTAGTTTTTGCCTTTTAGCCCAAATTTGACGTGTCAGCGAGGTCTGATTTGTCGAAATTCGGAATCTACGCATACGATTCCCTATATGGAAATATTTTTGAAGCTCTACGACCTTGCCTAAGGCCTTTTTCAGCAAAAAAAAGGTGCGCAAATGTCCAGGTGCGAAAAAAAGGTCACACTTGTCCCACCCCCAAATAAGCTAATAAGCTAAATAAGCTAATAAGCTAATAAACTGAAACCTTTGCTATAAGAATTTAGAATTTTTTGCTAAAAATTTCATTTAATTTAATTTGAACAAAGTTTTCAAGAGAAGAATACTTAAATTCTTTGGTGGCTCTTTGAAAATCGTTAATTTTACTGAAAAACTATTAAAATAAGTTATTAAAAAACTAGATTTCGCTATTAAATATTATAAAAATTCAATTCAAAACAAGTTTTTTAATCTTTTCTGCATGGGATGCTAGTCAATTTGAATGAAAACTATTAAAATAGGCTATTAGCAAAGTAAACTAGTCTATTACAATAGTAAACAGAACTAGTACTAACGGAACAAAACAGAACAAAACTATTGGGTTGGTGAATTGAAAACTGCAGAACTTTGAACTAAAATTTATTCAACATAAAACCATCAATTGATTTCAAATAATTTCCATTATTATTGACGACTTCTGCCCATTTTAAAGACAATTTGCGGATTCCTCTTTCGTAGTAGGATTTTGAATCGAAAAACTTTTAAAGCCAATTTTTGACTGCTTCTTCCGAATCGAAGTGTTCTCCCGCAAGCTCTTTACTCATGATCCAGAATAAATAGTAATCAAAAGGAGCTGGACTGTATGGGGGATGTGCCAAAAGTCCCCAAACAAGGCTATTTATTTTAGAGCGAGTCAGTTTTGCAACAGGAGGGCGCGCGTTCTCGTGGATGAGAACGATCTTTGACTTGAAGGGCCTATTCTTCTTTAGGGATTCATCCACCTTTCCCAACTGTTCACTGTATTTGATTGCATTAACGGTCGCCTTGCTATTCAGCAACTCCCAGTGCACCACTCCCTCCATATCCCAGAAAACGCAGAGCATAAACTTCTACTGGTGCAAATGGGGCTTAGGGTCACTTTCGGGTTTCTCGCCTGGCCCCACCCATTGCCGCTTCCTCTTCTTCTTCCTCAACTTCTGCCCATTTTACAGGCAATTTGCGGATTTTACAGGATTTTGGTTCGTGTGTGAGACTCAAAAATGGAGGACTGGAGAAATGTCCCAATTTGAGCACTTTCTTCAAAAGAAACCCATTTTGGCGTCAATAGAAAAGTTGTAGAGAATCAAAAATTAGGCTTATAGCCAAATTTTCAAAAAGATACACTTAGTAGTTTTGCTTAAAATGTTTTGTAAAATGCAAGTTTTGTGAAAATTCGTAAATTTGGCATTTCTTGAAAACCAGTTTTTGAATCGTTCTGAAAATTTGGATATAAGCTTGATTTTTGATTCTCTACAACTTTCCCATTGACACCAAAATGGGTTTCTTTTGAAGAAAGTGCTCAAACTGTCACATATGACAATAGCCCGCAGTTTTCAATTCACCAACCCAATAAAAGCACTTTGTGGCAATTTGTTTTATAAGTCGATAAGTCTTTGCGATAAAAATCAATGGCTTTTGGATTAATGAATAAAATTGTTGGGGAAAAATTCAAGTTTAAAAGTTCTATAGTTCTTGAAAGAAATAGAAAAGCAAAAAAAATGGCGCTAGGGTCGAACCAGGGTCGTAAAAATGGAGGGCTGAGGTGCCGAAATCTCACTTCTGATCATTGTCAGTCTGCTAAAGGCAATACAGTACAAGTACATTACAGTACAAGTACATTACAGTACAAGTACATTACAGTACAAGTACATTACAGTACAAGTACATTACAGTACAAGTACATTACAGTACAAGTACATTACAGTACAAGTACATTACAGTACAAGTACATTACAGTACAAGTACATTACAGTACAAGTACATTACAGTACAAGTACATTACAGTACAACTTATAGCTTCCAACAACTTTGGACTTTGGCACAGTGAATGTGGAAATCTTGACCGTTTCCGTGACGAATGACTGGCTTGTGGTGGGCGCGAGTTGTGGAGTGATCTTCATCTTCACCCGATTCGACGCAAAACTATACAAACAGTTTCGTCAAAGATCAAGTCAAATCTAAATCTTCTTCCAGAATTCGAACCTCTTCAACGGATACGATCTCTTGTCTCTCCGTTCTCGGCAATCAAATCGCTGTCGGCCATCACTCGGGCTTGCTCTTTCTCATTCATCTACAAACTGGGAAAAGTAAAAAGGTCAGAATAATGATTCGTTTAGCTGAATTTGATCCTCTTTCAGAAAAACAGAAAAAGAAAACAATAATAGCTGACAATAAACAATAATAGGGAGACGTTAGGAAAGAACGGCTTCCAACAACTAACAACTAAACACTAACAAGAACGTTAGGAAAGAATTTAGAATCCGTTTTCAGTTTTCGGGATGATAGTTGGGTTTTTGTGATAACACAGCCAGAGCGGCAGCCAGAGCGGTAGCTAGAGCGGCAGCCAGAGCGGTAGCTAGAGCGGTAGCCAGAGCGGTAGCTAGAGCGGTAGCCAGAGCGGCAGCTAGAGCGGTAGCTAGAGCGGTAGCCAGAGCGGTAGCCAGAGCGGTAGCCAGAGCGGTAGCCAGAGCGGTAGCCAGAGCGGTAGCCAGAGCGGTAGCCAGAGCGGTAGCCAGAGCGGTAGCCAGAGCGGTAGCCAGAGCGGTAGCCAGAGCGGTAGCCAGAGCGGTAGCCAGAGCGGTAGCCAGAGCGGTAGCCAGAGCGGTAGCCAGAGCGGTAGCCAGAGCGGTAGCCAGAGCGGTAGCCAGAGCGGTAGCCAGAGCGGTAGCCAGAGCGGTAGCCAGAGCGGTAGCCAGAGCGGTAGCCAGAGCGGTAGCCAGAGCGGTAGCCAGAGCGGTAGCCAGAGCGGTAGCCAGAGCGGTAGCCAGAGCGGTAGCCAGAGCGGTAGCCAGAGCGGTAGCCAGAGCGGCAACCACAGGCTTTGTGGGTCATCCTAGTGAAAAAATGTTCGTAGCTTCGAAATATCTAAAGGAAAAAGCTTCCTTTGAGTCCTTGTCTCCTAAATAGCAACCTTCCAAACCATCAAACTATTTTAAGATGCGCCTAGCCCCCTAGATAATTTTCCGGTCGGAGCTCCGTCTTGTTGAAATGTCTAAATTTGATTTTTGGAAATCCTTTTGTGCGTAGTGTAAAATTTCAGCTTTAAGGAGATCGAGATCGTTAATAATAATCGAGAATAAACCATTTATAATTATCGATAAACCATATAATTATCGATAAACAAATCCACAATATCGATTTCCAGGTTGACAAATACACGGATCGAGATCAGCACCGGGGTTCCGCTTTGCGACAAGTGATCTGGTCGACGAAAGATTGCACAAAGCTTGTCTCATCTGATGAATCAGGAATCGCTATTCTGACAAATGTCGATTTTCACAAGGTAGACCAATACACGAGCTGAAGAGCTCATAAATAAGCTTAAACGACTCGAAACTCGAAAAGTTTAACTCGAAAAGTGAACTTAACTTAAATAATGTAATTTAGAAAGCCTACACTCATTCATTTCTCTTTTGTGACACCATTCCTTCAGCAATTCGATCGATTGATCTTTCCGAGCATCAGGTGAAATAAAGCTACAGCTAAAGCTAAAATTCGAACTTATAACACGCTTTCTAAAAGGTGGAAAGAGCTGAAGGAGAGAGCTGAAGGAAAGAGCTGAAGGAAAGAGCTGAAGGAAAGAGCTGAAGGAAAGAGCTGAAGGAGAGAGCTGAAGGAAAGAGCTGAAGGAAAGAGCTGAAGGAGAGAGCTGAAGGAAAGAGCTGAAGGAAAGAGCTGAAGGAAAGAGCTGAAGGAAAGAGCTGAAGGAGAGAGCTGAAGGAAAGAGCTGAAGGAAAGAGCTGAAGGAGAGAGCTGAAGGAAAGAGCTGAAGGAAAGAGCTGAAGGAAAGAGCTGAAGGAAAGAGCTGAAGGAAAGATTACGATAGTCCTCCAAACTATTCACCTTTTTGAAAACGACACTTAAAAAACGAACGACAAGTACAAATGCAAGTAATTTAGGCACTAATCTGCGGTGAGAGCAACCAGTGCAGTCTTGTTGTGCTCGAGTCGGCTGAAGTGACACTTGTCGGGGAACAAACTTGGTATAAATCCTTATGAAAGCTACAAAAGCTCCTAAATAGCTATAAATTGAATTTCTTGCAAGATTATGAAAAACTTTTATCATAACTATCACCAAATTAATGCAAATGCTTAGCCAACTCTAAACAATGCTTAAACTACTGTAAACAAGCATTTCGATAAGTAAAACTTATTCAGTTAGCAGCCGAAAAATGCCTAACGGGGGGTTTTATTGGCTGAATGTTTTGGGGAAACGGATAGTCGCCGTGGAGCAGTCGGGAGCGCGCTTGGTTACGAACCGAGAGTGACAGCTCACAGCTCTACAGCTCACAGGGGGCAGGTTCGACAGCTCACAGGGGGCAGGTTCGACGCCCGGCTGTGACATGACTTTTGCTTTTTAAAAAACGAAACATCTGATGCACAACTACATAGAATTCTAAGTCTAAGAAACTAAAAATGATTTAAATCGGCCCATGGGAAGCGGAGAACTCGCGCGGTTAGACAAACAGGCAGACAGACAGGCAGACAGACAGGCAGACAGACAGACAGACAGACATACAGACAGACAGACATACAGACAGACAGACAGGCAGACAGACAGGCAGACAGGCAGGCAGACAGGCAGGCAGACAGGCAGACAGGCAGACAGACAGACAGACAGACGGACAGACGGACAGACGGACAGACAGACAGATAGACAGACAGACAAACACTTCCTTTTATATATAGTGCAATAAAAGCAGCCTCGTAAACCATAAAACAGTTCATTTCCTCATTTTGCTCATTCTATATCGTTCAAAAGTCTATAAAGGCTTCAATCATTCTGCATTGGTTATTGCTCTCTCCTTTTATTGCTTCTTATAAATTCGGTTTAATTACCCAAGTTTGAGAGAGGTAAACGAGTGATTCAATAATTGAGAAACTACACGCTTTGATCCATGCCAGTTGCCTTATCTAACAACATTTTCTCGTTACAACAAAGCTTTTTCAAACTATTTTCATATTTAGCAACTCTTCTCAAGTGATCGGTGTCGCTTGGCTGAACGAGGAGACATTTTGCCTTTTACACGAAGATTTCCGTGTTTTCCTCTACAAAAAGGAAAACTTAGCCACGCCGATGAGGATTTTTGATCTCTTAGAAGAAATGAAAAGACACTTCATTGCCGAGATTTCGATCAACGGTCAAGTGATGAGTGCCGGCTTTGAGAAACCGTCGACTTTGAGGTAAAATTTCACTTAACTTGTAAAAATTTCTAAGAATCCAACTTTAAACTCAAACTTCGTGTTGGGTTGTTCAATTAAAACATTTTTGATACCATTCGATGCGCCAAGTCTTTCTCTATTGATTGGTATAAAAACTATTTGAATTGAACCATTCAAAGCCAAGATATTTGAGCTTGAAGTTAAGCCAATGGCAAAGGGGCGGGGCGCGTATGTCCCACCTTTTATACGCGCCCCGACCCTTTTGCCATCTAAGAAAAGGTTACCATAACCTCAGCACAATTGGCTTAATTGAATAACGGTCGGTGTAGATTGCACTTCACTAGGCAAAGGGTCGGGGTAAAAGGTGGGACATACGCGCCCCGCCCCTTTTACCATTGGCTCAACTTTAAGCTTAAATATCTTGGCTTTGGGTTGTCCAATCAAAATAGTTTTTATACCAATCAATAGAGAAAGACTTGGCGCATCTAATGATATCAAGAATGTTTGAATTGAACAACCCAGCACGAAGATATTTGAGTCCAAAGTGGGATTGCCATTGGCAAAAGGGCGGGGCGCGTATAAAAGGTGAGGAAATCCTGGCTACCGTACTCAAACTGAAACACCGGCTTTGGCACATTTTACCCAGTGTTTGAGTCGTTTAAAATGCTTAATTTAGCTCTTTGACTAAACACAACGGTATCCCTTTTTAAAATGGATCTTTTCGAAACCCGAGAAATTCTGAAATTCTAAATTTCAATTGAAATGAAATGAATTGAAATGAATTGAATTCAATTCTGAATCTATTTCAGATGGCTAACATATTCCGAGTCACATTGTTGCCTTTCAACGAATCTGAATCAGCTTTTATTGTTGCGAATGAACACTGAAATCACCGTCGAAATGGCTTTCTATCTCGGGGATTTAAAAGTAAGGCAAATTTTCATTTTCTGTAAATTTACTCTATTTTTAGATCAAAGACGCTTCCTATTTCGACAAAGAGCTCTTTTTATTGCATCAAAATCGAGATTTGCTAAGAATCAGCACAAGAAAAGTCACGACGTTTCAAGAAATGCAAATGGATGGTATGCAAATGAATGGTATGCAAATTTTCACTAAAATATTTAACTAATTTAGATTCAATTGGACCGAGTCTTTCCTCAATAGTTGATTCGACTTCAACGCTTTTGGGAAAAATGCGGCCATCAAAAGATGCGACAGTTAAGGAAACGATTGAAGGTTAGTGTTCTTGAAAGGCGGATACTGTAGCTATTAGATATACTATAGCTAGGGTTTCAAGCTACGGTGTATCTAAAAGAAAAAATTCCCATTCGGTTCTCATTTGATTCCGATTTGGTTTCTATTTGGTTTGTATTTGGTTCCCATTTGGTTCTCATTCGGTTCTCTTTTGGTTTCGATTTGGTTCGGATTTGGTTTTCATTCGGTTCCTATTTGGTTCCCATTTGGTTCTTATTTGGTTTCTATTCGGTTCCCATTTGGTTCTCATTTGGTTCCTATTTGGCTCCTATTTGGTTTCGATTTGGTTCCCATTCGGCTCCCATTTAGTTCTCATTAGGTTCTCATTTGGTTCCTATTTGGTTTCTATTTGGTTCCTATTTGGTTCCCATTTGGTTCCCATTCCGTTCCCATTCTGTTCCTATTTGGTTCCTATTTGGTTCCTATTTGGTTTCTATTTGGTTCCTATTTGGTTCCCATTTGGTTCCCATTCCGTTCCCATTCTGTTCCTATTCGGTTCCTATTTGGTTTCTTTTTGGTTTCTATTTGGTTCCCATTCCGTTCCTATTCGGTTCCCATTCCGTTTCGATTTGGTTCCCATTCGGCTCCCATTTAGTTCTCATTCGGTTCCCATTTGGTTCCTATTTGGTTTCTATTTGGTTCCCATTTGGTTCTCATTGGGTTCCCATTTGGTTCCCATTTGGCTTCTATTCGGTTCCTATTCGGTTCCGATTTGGTTTCTCCTCAGATCCTTTTCGGTTTCCATTCGGTTTCCATTCGGTTTCTATTCAGCTCCCATTCAGTTCCCATTCGGTTTTCATTCGGTTCTATTTGGTTCCCATTTGTTCCCATTCGGTTCCCTTCCAAATTAGTCAATTCAAAGTCTATGTTTAAAATCTAAGTACAAAAGAGTATTTTTGTCTTCTTTGCAGATGTTGCATCACGTGGAATGGACGCGATCTCAACGCGAATCACTCCATCACTCAATCAACTGCTTGACAATATGAGGAAACATGTCGACAACTCGAATTTTGGAGTAACCACCTTTAGCATTATCGATTAAATGAAAGATTTTAGGCTGAAGAAGGGGAAATCCCGGCTGGATCGATGGTGTGCAAGGGGAAAATGGATGAAATCGGTGGGTGAAATAAGAACTTAACTTTTAGCATGACTTATGAAAGGTCTATCCAGTTCTAAAGCAATTTCCAGAAGTCGCTGAAGATGTATCTCAAGAAAACGCAGTGTCAGTGGTGAGAAAAGAGCGCGGAATACAAAAAAGAAAAAGAAAAGAAAGGAGACGATCGATTGATGGAAGTGAGGGATCTGTGCAATCGGATGAGATAAATCAGCAGGTTTGAAGGGGGCAAATCTGGCTTTATTCTAGCTTTATTCTAGCTTTATTAGCTTTAATTTGTTAGCTTTTCAAGTGAATATAGTATCTAGTGAAAGCTGTGTTCTACAAAGAACCACCGGATACCGTAACTTTTGCTGAATCCTCTTTTGCGACCTCGTTACAGTACGCCGCAATTTGAGAGCTATTTTTGTAAGCATCACTATTCTAGCAGAATCTCTAAGTGTACTTTGTACTCTGTACTATTCTAACAGAAGTTCTAAGTGTACTTTGTACTCTGTACTATTCTAACAGAAGTTCTAAGTGTACTTTGTACTCTGTACTATTCTAGCAGAATTTCTGAGTTTACTTTGTACTCTGTACTATTCTAACAGAAGTTCTAAGTGTACTTTGTACTCTGTACTATTCTAACAGAAGTTCTAAGTGTACTTTGTACTCTGTACTATTCTAACAGAATTTCTAAGTGTACTTTGGACTCAGTTTTTGTAAACACCTTCTTTCTGGTGTGATTTGTTTTCCATTTTCTAATGTGAGGTCAAAATTTGAGTCAGAAAAGTTCCAAACTAGAAATTGAGCTAGGAAATGGCTAAAATGCACCAATGAATAGATGAGTGCCCCAGGAAGGGTGTGTTTACATCTAGAGAATAGATGAGTGTCCTAGGAAGGGTGTGTTTACATCTAGAGAATAGGTGAGTGCCCCAGGAAGGGTGTGTTTACAAATTGAGCTGAAAGTACACTTATCAAACTTTTCAGCATTCTCCACAAAGCAACGATGAAGAAGTGAGGCTGAGAAATGTTCGAATGGGTAAGTTGATGACAATTTGGGACACAAGCCAATTTGGGACACAATTTGATACAAGCCCCGCCCCTTTTGCCATTGGCAATCCAACTTTAAACTCAAACTTCATGTTGGGTTGTTCAATTAAAACATTCTTGATACCATTCGATGCGCCAAGTCTTTCTCTATTGATTGGTATCAAAACTATTTGAATTGGACAGCCCAACACCAAGATATTTGAGCTTGAAGTTAAGCCAATGGCAAAGGGGCGGGATGTCCCACCTTTTATACGCGCCCCGCCCCTTTTGCCATCTAAGAAAAGGTTACCATAACCTCAGCACAATTGGCTTAATTGAATAACGGTCGGTGTAGATTGGGCTAAAAAATAAAACCGAAGCCATCAAATCCAATCAAACGAAAAACTTTCAGTTGTGGCCCAGCTCGGCACTGGAAGAAGGCATTCCCCTGATCGCTCATCTCATCTTTTCTCTTCTTCACCAAAATCTTTCCAACCCTCACCATTAGCACAACGAAGAAAGGATTTGATCAGGTTAGAATTGAATAATAGATTCTGATGACAACTAACTTACTCTTTATTCTTTTAGAGGGACAAAACAGTAGTTGGATAGTTGGACTTTATCTGCAGCACAGCAGATAAAGCAGCAGCACTGCAGATAAAGCAGCAGCACTGCACAATAAGCCCAAGCTTCAGTCAATCAAGAATTTGCATACTATAGAATAATAGAATAATAGAATAGAACAGTATGACTCAAGGTCTAAACTATTAACAGCAATTTCAGCCCAGCTTCTTCATCGACAACAGAAGACGAGAAAAGTCGACTTGGAGCAGAAAGTGAAGAAGATGAAGAATTGGATGAAGAGAAAGCATTGAAATTGATCTTGGAGAGGACAGCTGTCCCATCTGGAAGCACGGATTCACAGGTTTATGACACTTTAACCTTAAACCAATTCTATCAAACACTTGCTTTTCTGTAAGCCAGACTGGGCAGAAGCCAGACTGGGCAGAAGCCAGACTGGGCAGAAGCCAGACTGGGCAGAAGCCAGACTGGGCAGAAGCCAGACTGGGCAGAAGCCAGACTGGGCAGAAGCCAGACTGGGCAGAAGCTAGGGCTTTTGGACAAGCTTGGACAAGGCTCCAAGCCTCCAGATTTACAGCAAAGCCAGGTCCAGAACCTGCTTGTCCCTGGTTTTGACTGATCCTGGCCTGGTCCTGGCTTGTTTTTGACTGATCCTGGTCTGGTCCTGGCCTGTTTTTGACGAGTCCTGGCCTTGTCCTGGCTTGTTTGTGACCCGGATTCTAATATTCTTCTTCATTCAGACTACTGTTTCACTGGAAATCCCAGCAGACGATTCACCGAAGAAACTCGCTCTGCAAAAGGAGAAACTTGAGAAAGCGGTTGTGGTGAATGACTTGGTGGATATTTGGAATGAGGTAATCTCTATGAAATATCGATTTTGACTCTTTAATTGTCTTTTCATGTCTTTTCATGTACTTTGGATTGAATTTGACTTTCATGAAAGCCTCGTTTGATCATCTTTCCTTTTGTTGTTGATAGATTGACTTGGTAGTTGATAGATTGACTTGGTAGTTGATAGCTTGGCTTGGTAGTTGATAGCTTGACTTGGTAGTTGATAGATTGACTTGGTAGTTGATAGATTGACTTGGTAGTTGATAGATTAGACTCGATTGATCACCGTTTCTTTTGCTCATTGATAGATTAGCTCCAAAGCGCCAAGTTTAACGAAGTTCAACCCGAATTTGTTAAGTGTTATCGACAATAATGAAGCCCTTAATCTTGGCTAGATTTCTCTATGAAAAGTTTCCCCATTGGAGATACAAAACTCATTTTATAAGCCTTTGAAATCATTTTGAAAGCAATTTTGAAAGCAATTTTGAAAACAATTTTGAAAACAATTTTCCACTTCTTCCAAAGGAACCTGATTTCAACTAAGTTTTTCGATATTTTGAGTAAAACGAATCGATTAAAAACAGTTCTTAATGTTATTAAATGATGTTAAATACTATTTTAACATAAAATAAATATCGAAAACCATATCTGACAATTTCTTATAATGAAAATCGCCAAAGATGGCAGCGGGGAGGGATCAACTAGTAGTTATTGAAGGGCTTGCAAAATGAGTTGTATCTCACCGCCTGTAACTCCCTTGTCTTTGAGTTTAAGCAATTAGTGTTATACATTTTCTAAAAGCTCTTTTCTTTCAAATATGATATTTCATTGTCCAGTGGGGTCCAATGGGGTCCAGTGGGGTCCAATGGGGTCCAGTGGGGCCCAGTGGGGTCCAATGGGATCCAGTGGGGTCCAGTGGGGTCCAATGGGTCCAATGGGGTCCAGTGTCCAGTGGGGCATTTGCGTGGGGCATTTGCGTGGGGCATTAGCGTGGGGCACTCCACTTACGTCCACAATCTACCTATCTAAAAAAACCACCGTAAATACTGAACACCCTCTAGTTAGCCTAGATCTAGCAGTCAAAGTGAGTATTTAGCTTATCGTTATTATTCGTCCTATTCGTCCAATCCGTCCTATTATCGTCCCGTTATTATCGCTACTATTCAGACAGTGTATCCGATACCAAATACCTATCTTATCGTATCAAATACGCATCTTACCTTATCCTATCAAATACTAATAGAGTTCTCTATAGAGTTTGAAATCCTCTTATCATCTCCAGATCCAACTCCCATTCACCCCCTCATCACTCTCGGCGAACAAGACCCATCTCTTGATGTGTCATCGGAAAAAACACCCAAAATGGGCACCAATCGAGGATTTGAATACGAAGAAGAGACTCGAATGGATAAATGCTAATTTCATGGCCGATCAACTGGAGTCAAATGGTTTAACTTTAGCACTTCTATTTATTCAGTAACAACATTTGTAAACATACCCTATCTGATGCGCTTAATTCCCAATTCTCTAATTCTCCAATTCTCCATTGGAATTGAAGAATTGAGTGCACTAGAGAGGGTGGGTTTAAGCTTTGAACAGTTGTGGAAATGAATCTTTTTCCAGAGGACGGCTCGCTGATCTGGCGAATCAAGAAAGGAGTGCCCAAAATGTGCACAGCACTCTCACCTACAGTTTCCTGGATTCCGGTGAGTTATTCTTATAATTAGAATTATCCAAACCACTCAAGACTTTCAAATCTATTTATATCTTTAACATCTATTTATTATTACTATTACGCTAGAAAAGTACTCAACCGATAGCCGAAGATCTTTTCAACTTTTCGAAGCTAATCTTACAGTACTTAAGACAAGGCTGAAGACTTAAGGCTGAAGACAAGGCTGAAGACAAGGCTGAAGACAAGGCTGAAGACAAGGCTGATGACTTAAGCCTTAAGACAAGACCGAAGAGTTAAGACTGAAGACTTAAGCCTGAAGACTTAAGGCTGAAGACAAGCCTGAAGACTTAAGGCTGAAGACTTAAGGCTGAAGACTTAAGGCTGAAGACAAGGCTGAAGACAAGGCTGATGACTTAAGCCTTAAGACAAGGCCGAAGAGTTAAGACTGAAGACTTAAGCCTTAAGACAAGGCTGATGACTTAAGCCTTAAGACAAGACTGAAGACTTAAGCCTTAAGACAAGGCTGAAGACAAGGCTGAAGACTTCTTTAAGACTTAAGACTTACTTAAGACATTCACCAAAGATTTACATTTGCCATTCGCTTTAACTGAATATCTTTAGCCAATCCGGTATACTGTACTGTAATGAGTGTAAGAGAATCTAGTCTAGTCTAAGTCTAAGAGTCCAAGACAGATAGTCTAAGAGAATCTTTTACATCTTCTCTAAACCATCACCAATCTAGATAATGAAAAGTTCAATGAATCAAAGCAAAGTAAGTGTTCCTTGGGCATTTTTCTAATCTTGATTTTATACAAATTTTGCATGTGCATTGATAAAATTTTGATCTCCATGTGACTCAAAATTTGATTTCAGGTGGAAAGCTGTAGCAATGGTGTCTCAGGGTGTGCGTTGGCTGCAAAAGATGCTTGGTATGGGACAGATAATCGGGTAATTGCCATTTGAATGGATTCTTCAGTACGGTATTCGACAGTAAATAGTGACACAGTTACGGTAGCCTTTAACTAAAGTAAAGACTTTGATACAGTTGATACAGTATGATCTTTGTTGGATAGTGCTTCTTCTGCTTCTTCTTAAACAGAGTGCTTCTTCTTAAACAATGTCTTTTTTAATGAATTCATTTTTTAAACTACTTTAATATTGTCTCTAGTTTTCATTCAATCAGGCTAGAGATATTGTAGATTAAGCTAGAGATCTTGTAGATCAAGCTTGAGGCTTTCGATATCTTTTTTGAATCAGAAAATGGATAGACTGGATAGATATGGATATAGATAGATAGATAGGATATAGATAGATAGATAGGATATAGATAGATAGATAGGATATAGATAGATTGATAGGATATAGATAGATTGATAGGATATAGATAGATTGATAGGATATAGATAGATAGATAGGATATAGATAGATAGATAGGATATAGATAGATTGATAGGATATAGATAGATTGATAGGATATAGATAGATGGATAGGATACAGACAAGAATAGTTGATAGATTGACAGAGAAGCTGAGTTGATAAGCTGAATTGATAAGCTGAGTTGACAAGCTTAGTTGACAAGCTGAGTTGACAAGCTAGTTTTCGAAGTTAGAAATGGATAAAGCGAATAAAGCGAATAAAGCGGATAAAGTGGATAAAGCGTTAGGACAATAAGAACATAGAAACACTAGGCTCTCCTTAATTGCAACCTTTTTTCAGATCTCTCTTCAAATGGAGCTCCCCGAAGAGGGTTTCCTTTATGAGACGGAGGGTGAAGCAAAGATCAGGTGACTTTAATCGAACTGTCGATTAGCTTTATCCACTAAAGCTTATAGCTTTATCCACTAAACTTTCATAATTGACTGATCTGTTAAGACTATCTCTAAGACTATTAAGGCTATCTCTAAGACTGTTAAGACTATCTCTAAGACTGTTAAGACTATCTCGTTAGAATCGTTACAAAATGGTCAAAAGCTTCGGATGCTTATGTCACTTCCGGAGACTCCAATATATTCTAGCAAATTCAAGAGGTCTATTAAGTCGTCTATTAAGTCTATTAAGTCTATTAAGTCTATTAAGTCTATTAAGTCAAGTCTTTTCCTTGAGGTCCATTAAGCGATGCATTTTCGCTTCTCGCATCTCGAATCCAAGAAACAACGGCTTCTTGATCAACGGCTTCTTGATCAACCGCTTCTTGATCAATGGCTTCTTGATCTTGATCAGCTTGTGTTTCCCTCCTCGAAAAAGATTTCGTTCCTTTTTGTTCCATCATTGATTCCCTTCAAAGTCTTTGTTTTTGTTCGTAAAATCGTTCAAATCGTTTCATTGGAGAGTTTGAACAAGTGATCAGAACAAGTTTGAACAGAACGGGCCAATTGAGAGATCGATTTCCCAGCTTCTCGCAAGACTTCTCTCTTTCGCTCTAAAGAAATCGCTTTCATCGTACTTAAATAAAAAAATGTAACTACAGATTCCCAGCGAATGGGTGACGCGACATTAGGTGACCAAGCTGACAATAGGTAGTATATCAACTGTGATCCAATGAGGAAAATACTCGGCGAGCCAATCTTTGTGTTTCTCAAGCTTTATGTGGAGCTCTGTTCTGCTGAAATGGCTTATTTTCGAAGTGATTTCAAGGCAAAATTTCTGTTTTTAACACGAGCCTAAGAACTTAAAAATCATGTAAATGGACTCACGGGGAGCCGAGAACTCGCGAATAGACAGACAGACGGATGGACAAACAGACAGACAAACGGACAGACAAACGGACAGACAGATGGGCAGACAGACAGACAGACAGACAGACACTTCTTTTTATATATATATAGTAGTGATTGCATAAACTTGCATAAACTTTTCAATGCAAATGAAATCAATCCTCTAAATTTTAGAAGCCTTACCGCTACGCGTAAAGCGGTGTGGGCAATCCGGGAAGACACTGGGACATTGATGGTTCGAGTTGGGATCAATCGGTGCCGAATGGGATACGATTGGGTTGATGTTAAGTAAGACACTTGATTTTCAATAAACATAGCTTTCTTATAAAAATCTGATACACCAGAACGAAAAGAAAAGATGCCAGGATCGACTTTGTTTTATTGGTATTGGTAAACGCTTTCTGGTGCACTTGATTCTTCGAATTGTGAAAATGTCGGTGAAAATGCAGAATCTAGTGCGCCATAAAGAGTGTGTTTACACATTTGAGCACAACGAATAAATTCTACTACTTTGGCTCCCTTTAGCTTGGATTTGGGCGGGCGTTTTTTGTGGGCGAAACTCGTGGACACCACCGGATTTCTTCTAGATGAGCATGGTAAGGCTGACGCTGACTCTGAATTCGTTCTACCTCTATCCACAGCTTATTTATTCACTTTAATTGAATACCATTATACTTTCAAAGTGTTTCCCTTGCCCACTCAGCTGAATATCTTCTGATTTCTTGGGGAATTTCAAACAAAAGGGGCAGCTACGAAAAAGGCAGCTACAAAAAGGGCAGCTATAAAAAGGGCAGCTAGGCAGCTACAAAAAGGGCGGCTACAAAAAGGCAGCTACAAAAAGGGTAGCTACAAAAAGGGCAGCTACAAAAAGGGCAGCTAGGCAGCTACAAAAAGGGGCAGCTACAAAAAGGGGCAGCTACAAAAAGGGGCAGCTACAAAAAGGGTAGCTAGGCAGCTACAAAAAGGGCAGCTACAAAAAGGGCAGCTAGGCAGCTACAAAAAGGGCAGCTACAAAAAGGGCAGCTACAAAAAGGGCAGCTACAAAAAGGGGCAGCTACAAAAAGGGCAGCTACAAAAAGGGCAGCTACAAAAAATCTACACAGAAAAGGGCTTCATAGCTTTCATAGCTGCCCTAATTGTTTGAATTTCTTGGATGAAATTAAAAGATTAGAGCTAGAGCTTTAACTAGAGCTAGAGCTAGAGCTAGAGCTTCAACTAGAGCTTTAACTAGAGCTTTAGGGTTTTAGGGGAGACTTTGAAAGTATAGACTGATAAATCAATAACTTTTACGATATTAGGCGGTTTGTGGATGACAAAAGGAGTCGACGAACATCATCCATACGGAAATGCCGACGGTTTCATGCGAGTTTGCACACCGCTAGAGAAACGATCAAAGATACCAGCGCCTAGTGAATGGTAAGTGAATGGTAAGCGAATGGGAAAGCTTTCAATCGATAACAAATGAAAGTTGAGTGGTTTAACGTATTCTCAGAGAATCGATAGACAAAACTCACAATTCAAATCGAATTGTTCTCTCAATCGTTCTCTCAATTGTTTTGTCCTCTCAATTTCGTTACTATTTGAGTAATAAATTGATTTAACGGGAATTTGTAGCAAAAATTGTTAAATTTATAGTTAAATTGTAAAAATATAGCTTCTGATCTGTCTTCTGGCAGCATTGGAGGTCCAGGCGGGGGATTAGCTGAGAGAAAGCTTTCAAATGATAACAAATGAAAGTTGAGTGGTTGATTTTTTAGCTCAGTTTCAACCTTGAGTGTCTCGGCTAGTTTTTAAACAATGAAGTGAAAGATTAGCTGTAGTCATTGAAGAGATCAAAGCTTAGAAGAAAGGAAGAGAGGAAGGAAGAAAGGAAGGACGGAAAGAAGGAAGAAAGGACGGAAAGAAGCAAGGAAGGACGGAAAGAAGGAAGGAAGGACATAAAGAAGCAAGGAAGGAAGGAAGGAAGGAAGGAAGAAAGAAAGGAAGAGAGGGAAATACTAGGGTTTAAGATGTTTGAGAGGTTTTTTTCCATTGTTTTATTGTAGTTCTGGTACAAATTGGAATCGTTGGAAAAATACGATCTTGTCTCTTCATTTTCTTAGGATTAGAAGTCCAATCAGACTCTATTTTCCAGTAATAACAAATTTTTAATGTTGTTAGCTAATTCTTGATGTTACTAGCTAATTCCTGATGTTGTTTTAAGTTTCTTATTGGTCAATCGATACATTTTTCAGGAGAATGACCGCCTCGCAAAAGGGACTCTTCATCTCGGCCGGGAGAAAACTCTTTTGTTCACGAGTTGCTGTTTCAGGACATCGGTATATTGAGATATTTAATAGTAAGATCAATTTAACAGTTTTAGTTTAATCTTTAATTAATCAGGGCCCAATTTCACCACCATTTTAAGTCAGTGACTTGGGGAGAGGTGGCAGAAAAGATCAGACACCATTTCACCACCATTGTCAGCAAAGTCAGTCAGCAAAGAAGAATCTCTGTGCAACGGGTGATGGACCAGGATTGGAATTGCCAACCCCAAATGCCAATTGGAATTGCCACTTCTCAGCTAGCTCGAGCCAATTGCAAAAATCGTTGGGAATGAAGAAACGGTGAGGGGAATTGCCTTTGCACTCGATTCAGACGATGGATCGATCAATATGGATGAATTTGATAATAGATCGCATGAAAATATGGGTTAAAAAGCTTGGAAAGCTCCAAAAAAAGCTTAGAAAGCTCCAAAAAGCCTAGAAAGCGCCAAAACGCTCCAGAAAAGCTTAAAAAGCTCCAAAAAGCTCCAAAAAAGCTTGGAAAGCTCCAAAAAAGCTCCAAAAAGCCTAGAAAGCTCCAAAACGCTCCAGAAAAGCTTAAAAAGCTCCAAAAAGCTCCAAAAAATCTTGGAAAGCTCCAAAAAAGCTCCAAAAAGCCTAGAAAGCTCCAAAACGCTCCAGAAAAGCTTAAAAAGCTCCAAAAAGCTCCAAAAAAGCTTGGAAAGCTCCAAAAAAGCTCCAAAAAGCCTAGAAAGCTCCAAAACGCTCCAGAAAAGCTTAAAAAGCTCCAAAAAAGCTCCAAAAAGCCTAGAAAGCTCCAAAACGCCCCAGAAAAGCTTAAAAAGCTCCAAAAAAGCTCAGAAAGCTCCAAAAAAGCTCCAAAAAAGATGATGTTGGTTGGTTGGTTGGTTGGTTGGTTATTCTACGCCTTCATTAAAAGCTAGTGATACGCCATCATCAAAAGTTGTTCCTTCAAAAGAC